ATATATATATATATATATATATATATATATATATATATAAATAGCGGTAAATAATTTGTTCGTTCACACTCTATATATATTTTTTTTCGTGCTTTTTTTCCCTCGTAAATTGCCCCAAAAGCTGTGCAACGAGTTACAACAGTAATAATAAAAAAAAAGAGAAAAAGGACCTAAAAGAAAAACGAAATAAAAGATAAAGAAGATTACCTGGGCTGTCTCTTATCCAGAGACACAGACTAGTAATGCACGAGAACAATAAAAAAAAAAAGCAAAAATTGCAAAATATACTCCAGAAAATCTGGTGATCCAAAAACTGTCTTCCAGATCTCAACAAACAATGGTAAAAGAGATGACATACGTTCACAGAATTTCATCATCTCTCTCTTTTTTCTTGAACTTTTTTTTTTTCTTCTTCCTTTACCACTACCATTTTCACTCCAAAACATTGAATAAACTGACTAGCTGACTGACTCTTTTAACCTTGTGTGATGACTGCGCCGGCGTAGCTTACGGAGGAATCGGCCATATTGGTGCATCGGTTTGACTGGGAGTAGTGAAGAAATTTGACGGCTGCGGTAGGCTGACTCTTAACGGCGGCCATACCAACAGAGATGGGACGTCTCCCGCAGATAGTGTTGTGTGTACGGGCGAGATACTCATACCATCCATTCATATCACGCTTCTCAAGCCAATGCATGCCCTCGTGATCCATTGCGATAATGGCGTCACCGATATTTGGGTGTTCCTCTCTCTGATAGTGGTATGTGTACTGAAAGCGTGACCCCCAGTGACAGAAGTCTGAACTGAGTACGAATATCCGTGTGGGATCTGCGGCGTAGGCTGCGAGCACATTTCCGATGCGTTCCTCCATCTCCCTGTCTGTCCATCCGACGAGGAGCGGGACGAGTTTGAGGCGCTCTGCTGCCGGCGCGGCCCCCTTCGGCGGGTGGTGGGCGATGTGGGCGAGGAACGGGAGTTGCATCTCGAGGGAGTGTTCCGCCTCGTCGGTGCGGCGGTCGGTGCGGTCCACCGGCACCCCCGCCGCCCGCAGCGCCGCCGCCACCGCCGCCGCCGTTTCCCCCGCGACCGGCAGCGGCCCGAGCGGCGACTCGTACGCCCGTGCGGCGGAGACCAACACGCCGTCGAAGTCCGCGTGGTGCGAGGGGCCGACGAGGAGGACTTCCGTCACGGAGCCGCCCAGCGGGCCGTACACAAAGTCCCGCAGCGCCTTGTACACACACGCCGCCGTGGAGCCGGAGTACATCAGACCAGCGTGCGGCGCAATCACACCAACCAGCCGCTTTCCACCCTCCCACGTAAAGTTTGACGCCTTCGCAAACAAATTGTCAACCGTCGTCTTCAGCACCGTTGGGTTACCATCATACCAACTGTCGGCATGGGAAGCACGGCGAGAATAGGACATGAACCACACACTTCTTCTCAGTTTGCCGTTCCCCTCACAAAAAATTTATCTGTTAACGCAACCGAGAATGAACAACCACAAAAAACAAAATAATAACAGATAAACACACACAGAGACGCAGAATAAAGAGATTTTTTTTTTTTTTTTCTTGGAGATGAGTAGCTATTGGTAAAAGGAGGGGAAAAGGAAGTATGGGAGAAGAAAGAAGAAAAAAAGTGCAAAAACAACAACAACAATAGCTACTCTCATATACATAGATGATCATGAATAAAAAAGGGCATTGTAGCACAGCCGTTTTTTTATTTTTTATTATTATTTTGCCCATCCTCTTGCCTTAGTTGCATTTTCCAAACATTTTATTCTGCTATGAAATAAAAGGTATATATTAAATAAAAAAAAAGAGCACAATAAGAAGAAAACCAAACCGCTCCTATCAATACCCAGAAAGAAAGTACGTTGTTAGTGGAAGCACAATAAAGGTCGAAAGGAGAAATATACCACAGAACGAACAAAATTAAAAAAAAAAAGAGCCATAAACGCTATCAGTATTTCTAATTTCTTCTTTTGCGCAATCATTAGGTACGTGCATGCAACTAAAAGGAAGAAAAAAAAAAAAAAAAACAGACGTAGCAGTTCCTTTAGTACATGCCACATATATTGTCAGACTGGTAGATATAATGAACAACAACAAGGAAAACAAATGAAAATTATTGCTTGATTTTAAGCGATTACTGGTTATATGTACGCACGAGTTGCGACATCAAATATGGCAACTACAGGACGATGATCACTACTTCGTACTTGCTGTACATCAGTGTAAAGGCGTATTTTTACTTTTCCTATATTAGAACCTTTTCGTTTCTTATACAAGATCCGATCGCAATATGCTGGCATACGATCCTTCTTCTTGCTAAAATTATAAACGTCATGGTCCACCTCATATTTATATGTTGGACGAAACAACAAGTTCCCTTCACGAAATCTTTGAAAGACAGCACCTTTGGCTCGCTCTAGATTTAACTGATCATTGTGAATAAGAATAGAACGAATGTCTTTGTGATAACGAATAATGTACTCAATCCCTTTTCGTGTGCCGTTAATGCGATAATTAAGGTCTCCACCAAATAAAACAAAATCAAACTCTTCAGTTACATCACGGCGAGAGATCAATTCTTGCTGTATAGCAATAGAAGAAGGATCAGAAGTTGGAGGAAGATTCATGAGAGAGAGATTATTATCTGGAGATAGAAGAGTATCACCATTATTATTACTATTATCGGTTTCACTGTTTTCCTTCTTAGATTCAACCGCATTTCTCAGAGTCCCCGATAATTCTGGAACATCTTCCTCTCTTTTCTTTTCATCTTCTTCTTCCTCACTATCTTCATTCCCTATAGTACCACTACCCAATAGAATTTTTCTAAAAAACCTCTTGTATCGTCCACGAAAACCAACATTTAAAGTCTTAACAATAGTGTTATAGTCCTTATTACGCATATTAACCGCTTTCTGATGAGCTGCGAGATGAGCACCAATAAATAAAAGTGTAATATACGGTGATGTTGCTGCCTCTGTTGATTCTTGGGGAAATGACACGCTATTTGATGCCCCAGTTTCAAAATCCCCTTTCGGTGAGAAAACGGATGTCAATTGTTCTATAGGAAGAGTAAAAGTACCATTTTTCTTATCCTTGTTTTTACTACTTTTCCCAAGAGCCTCATTACCTGAATGTAAGGATGCTTGTAGAGGTGAGGGTGACATTGAAAGTACTAATGACACTGCAACTCCACCCTTGTTGCCACCCAAACCATTAACAATACCTGTTTTTACACTAGAGTCATCTGAATGTACTACGTATGTGGCTACGTCTCCTTTTCGTGCGTAGACCAAAATTTGAATATACCACAAGGTTTTTTGTCGCACAAGAATATAATTATCCTGAAGACAGGTAGAAGTTACATAATTTACCCATTGTTGTTGTTCCCGTTTAACAGATAAATGACTTCCATTTTCCTGAGTACAAACAACAACAATATGAGCATTAGGACGAATACAAAAGGAAGAGACTTCATTATGAACTGGTGGTTTATGTGCCATATTCCAACTGATATACGATATACGCAATGGTTGTCCTGGAGTCCAGGGTTCTTCTGTTATGGCGGAAGGTACAGGGAACGTCTCTTCTTTTATAAGGAATGGTACAGAATAACGATCATCATTGGACCTGTCAATAAGATCAGAGATGCTCTCAGGTGGAAGAGGATCTTCACTTTCCGAAGAAACAAGTGTTAGGACAATAGGAGCAGAAGGATCTATCATTGGATCTGATTTTATTTCTAATGATGCCTCTAAACTGGTACTTTCGTCCGACATCAATTCTTCTTCTTCTTCCTTCTCCTCCTCCTCCTCTTCTTCTTCCCGGTACAGCTTGAAGTCTTCATTCTCCATCTTTACGTCAGTGCTGCTCATTGCATGTCCAGCTGGCGTTCACTGGAGCAATTTCAGTGAATTCACACTGTAAGCAAATGTTAAGAAATACTTGTATGGCTCCAAAACAAAACCAAGAAAAAACAACTATATTATCTTTATATATACAAAACTCTATAAAAAGGAAATAACAAAAGAAGTGGTATATATAAAAAACAAAAAATGTCTCCAATACTGTACTTTTTCTTTTCAGTTTTTATTATTATTAGACGCACCAGCATATATGGTGACAGATAGAAACAGAAATAAATAAATAAATATATATTTCTAATATTATGGGGAAAAAATAACTATAAAATGCTACACTACACCACTTCATGATCTGCCACTAAAAAAAAAAAACAGCACATATACGATCAAAAACGTCCATACTAACGAGAAAATATTACCCGGAAAAAACCACAATCATACCGGTAACTGCAAAATAGATAAATAGATAGAAAATAAATAATAAAAAAAAAAAAAATAGACAATAAAATTTAAAAAGAGAAGAAAGGAAAAAGAACAAAACACGGTCATAATTCTGGTATAATGTTCTTGTTCTTCTTGTTGTTTTGATTTTTTTTTTTAGTTTTTTTGCTCATGCAATGTACTAGTGGTAATAGAGTTAAGGTTCTAACAATCCACCCCCACCCCCCCACCCCATTTTTCCCATCCCTCATACCCTGACTAGTTTTCCCACTACTTTCTGTCTTCCTAAAAAATAAATAATAGTAATAATAATAATAATAATAATAATAATAATAATAATAATAATAATAATACATGAGCTATAAACTTCAAATGCATGGTGTAACTTATTTTTACGTTGTTGCCATTTTCTCTGCTTCCGCTAAAGTTTTCTCATGAGCATCTCGTTTCTTAATATAGTTTATATACTTAAAACGAGACTCATTAGTATACCAGACAGTTGATTGATTGGGAAATTCCTCAAGCGGTTTTTGCCACCAAAAAACACCCTTTTCCCAATCTTTCGGTACACCAAAGGGACGTACAAACTGACGGCCTGGATAATACATATTGCTCATCATGGAACGCATAACTACTACATCCATCGCATTACGGGCAAAATAGTAGAGAGCACCAAATAAGACTGCAAATAACCAAACATCTTTCCATCCACAACGTAAGTTATTTTCACCCCATGATCGAAACCAGTTATAACGTTCTACTTCTGAGACTAGTCCAGGCTCTTCTACACCGAATATAAATTCTTTTTTACACTGTAATTTTGGCACCTTATATCCTGGTGGAGGCCAATCTGGATTCCACGAACGTGTACGCATGGTTGGTTGAATCTCATCCCATTTCATAATAGTGTCTGACCAGTGATACCACGTCTGTCGATTCAACAATTCCTTCGGCACACTACGGAAACCAGGACGGTTTCGTTGCCAGGCTTCACCAGGGTAATAAAACTCTTCCGCATCCCATTGCTCCTTTACAGCAAAGCAAGCACCCACTTTTTTATCCAATCCAGGCTTTGAGTACTCATCAAAGTATTCATAAAGACGATACTTCTTCGGTGTATGCATATCACCATGTTCTGTTGTGGAATTATCTTCACGCATACCTTGCTCAAAAGCTTCTCTATCATGAGTCCTACGAAACTCTGAAGAAGAGTTAATATTTTCATCTACGCGGTGGTAGTCCCATTTTTCTTTAGGTCGTTGTGTAAAATAACGTGTACCTTCTAATTCCTCTCGAGTCACTCTCGGTGTGCCACCGTATGGTATCTTCCAGCCATGAAAGCCGGCGAATTGAAATCCGTGATAAGAACGGCTCTGTACATGCAACACCAACGCACTACATGCAATGATGTTATTCACGATAGTGGTATTGGGCGTACGTACACCACTGCGTGACCACATTTGCTACGTTACCTCCCAAACAGATATACTTAAATGGAGAAGTAAAAAGAAAGAGAAAGAGAGAGAAAGAAAGAAAATGAATAGTGTGAATAGAGAACACCTCTCTTCTCTATGATACTCAAAGTAAACCAAAAAATCAAATAAATAAACACATACACACGTATTAGTAAATATAAAAAACAAAAACAAAAACAAAAACGAAACACAAGACATAATTTATGTCATCATTACACCAAACCATACCATACCAAAATAAAAAATAAAATAAATCACCCCAAATACCTCCATAGAGTTTAAAAATATAACCGAAAAAAAAATATTTATATAAAAGTCATCATCAAGAAGAATTTTGACGAAGTCGCTTACGCTTACCTGCCACACTTACTCGTGAAGACTTGGAATCTGTGATAAGACGTTTTAAATCCTGCTGGATTTGTGCACTGAGGAGAGGCACCACCTGCTCTTGTGCAAGAAGAGAACGTGCGAGGGTTGCAGCCGGTACTGGAGAGATAACCCATTCTTCTCGCATCCCAGGGACTACAACAGCCTCCGCTTCAAGATGCTTCATCATTTGTTGAGCCTTTTTAAGAGAAATATCTAATGGACATGAAATACGAAGATATTCTTCAATTTCACTTAATGATATTCGTCCACGTTGAATAGCAGGGGACTTGGTTAAAACAAAGCTTGTGAAAACAAGGAAAGCAAGGTCCTCTGGGCGCAAAAAATAATTCTCTGTTTGAGTATTGGTAAATTGTTGTGTCAATTCTTCTATTGTAGACATCTGTTTATTTGCTGCAGTATTCATATCACACTTATTACTTAATCTTGTTGTTCTTGCTGATGCTGCTGCTGCTGTTTCTTGTTCTTCTTCTTCTGTCCCTGTTGCAGCCGTATCATATGTAGCAGCTGTGGTCGTGGGACTATTGGTAAGAAAGGATGAACGTTGTGACCAAAGTCTATCAAAAAAACGATGTCTAATAGTAACTGCCATCATATGATGTCCTGTATCAAGAGAAGCAATTTTAGTACTTTGTTTCTTTTCTTGTTCATGTATATTTGCAAGATGTGAGTTTGCTGGAGCAAAACATGGAGGTTCATATGATGCTAGAGTTATATCTTCATAATATGTGAGTTGCATCGTTAATACACGATCACACAACAATGGTGGTAAACCTTCTACTACTTCCATTAACTTTGTGATGATACTTGCAAGAGCCTGTTGAACCTCTTGTCGAGTGCGACGTTTTCTGTTATTTCGACTCATTGAAATATCTGTGACAGGTGGACGGTTCACTCCACCTCGTTGTGAATCACTGGTAAATGCCAAAGAAGCACGTTGCCCGTCTGGAGAATAAGATAAGGTGAAAGTATAACTTTCAAGAAGTTCAGTACAATTAGGCGAATAAATACAGAGAGCCAATTCTTTTAAATATCCTTTATTAAGTGCATCAAAGGCTCCTTCTTCCATCCACTGTGAGATTGCATCTGCTTCAGGTGAAGTTCGAACTAACTGTTTTAACTGAAGTCCAAGAAATTGTCTTGGTTGATATGATTCGTCACTACACAAACCTCGAAGGTATGTCACACAAGATACCGCAACTCGTATAAAATTACGTATAGCAGCTAAACTTTGAACTTGCGTAACCTCTGCAGCAGTTGACGTCATACTCCTACCGTTTAATACTCTGTAAAGGAGAAAATAATATTCTAATACATGTATACAGACAAATAAAGAAGAAAAGAAAAAAAAAAAGATATATAATGCCTGAAAACATATACCATGATTCATGATCACAGACCCAAGGAAAGAATAAACAAAGTTGGGAAATAAAAAGAAGAACAAAGAAGTATATATATATATTTTTTTGTATTCAAAATAAAATAAAAATACGAAAAGACAAGAAAAGGAAGAATCCATTTCAAAAGATATCGCTGAGCTTATTTCTTCGCGGCCTTGCGCTCTGCCATCTCTGCGCGGATGGCCTTACCCTTGGCGGAGCGGTCCACCTTCTTGGTCTTCGCGCGCACCTCCTGGATGTACGAGAGGTCGGCGCCGTTGATGCCGCGCTCGGCCTTCACGGTGCGGGCCGCACGGCGGCGGACGACGCGGTCGGTTGTTGTCTTGCGGTGGATGCGGCGGTACGTGCGGGTCCACGGGATGAAGCGCGGGTTCTTCTTGCGCATGTACATGACGAAGCACTTTGGGCGGGAGAAGGTCAGCACGGGCTTCGTGGACAGGAACGCGAAGGGGACGTAGCGGCGGCCGTGGCCGGGGTGCACGGCGAAGTGGGAGAACTCACAGTCGATCGTCCGCATTTGGCTTCTCCTTTTATCTAAATAATAATAATAATAAAATAAAAATAAAAAACAAAAAAAAAGAAGTTAAAGAGGAATTAACCAACATTGTTCATTACTATAAAGACATTTAAGGTAAATCATTATCATAATTAGCCCTTGCTCTTATTTTCATCTAGAGGTTTTATGTATTCTTTCTTTTGTATGTTTTTGTTTAATATCATGTAGTAATAATAATATGAAGAAATTTACAGGTATTTTACTCTTGTCGATCATTAATATTATTGGAAATGACAATAGCTTCTTCTCCCTCTCTGAGTATTTAGATCACCTGAGAAACTGACGAGGTAAATTACGATACAAAGATTTGTAATAAGGGGAATTGACACAAAGAAATGGCAGTTCATCTCTATGAGCTTCACGAATACACTGACGGTATTTATCATCATTACACTTCATTACTTCCTTTACATGTGTAATACACACTTCACGTGCTGTAATCCATGAACGACAAATATCACTCTTTATTCGAATAATATTATTCGCTAAACAATCTACATCTGGCCCTGGACATTCATCTTGCAATTCACCCCAACACGCCTGTGTGATAGTTTGCGGAGCAGTATACAAAGGTACCGTTGCGGCTGCTGCTGCTGTTTCTATTATCATAGAATCAAAGCATATACACAAGAGGAAATAAAGAATCACAGAAGTAAATAAAAAATGAGAAGTATTCCTCCGAGACATATCTACCATTATTGAACCCTATACTTTCCTTTTTTTTTCCATTGAAGAAATAAATAATAAAAAAAACATACATATATATATACGCAATCATCTTCTTCCCTCCCATACACGCTCAGAATCCCCCACATATTTGTACGCAATGTAGGTAGTAATAATATTAAAAAACACCCTTAACATGGTCAACATCAGGAGTGCCAAAAAAAAAAAAGAGAAATGTATAGGATCAGAAAACAGAAAACAATATAATAATTTCTTCTCGTTAATCCCATCATTCCCCGTAATAAATAAATGCATTCTGAATTTTTTCTCTCCCACGGTTATTCCAAAAAAAAAAAAAATAAATAACAAAACTGACGAAATGGAAGAACTGAGAAGCCCCTTTTAAACTTGTCTCCCGCTCGGGACGGTGAGAGTTAGGGGTTGGGTGGGGTTTTCAGAGACTTGTATTTGACAGGATGCGAGAATGAAAAAAGAATAATAGAAAATTTCAAACGTTAGATACCTTACCCCCAGTTAATTGGTTATTATTGTAAGAATTGTTCATTCTTTTCACAAGCTGTCAGGAAATAATAATAATAATAATAATAATAATAATAATAATAATAAAATCATCATCAATAAAAAGGAGAAAAAAAAAAGATTTAAGATTTTTTTTTTTTACCGATGGTTTATTCGTGAATAACGTGAGCGCCATCGACCTCTGAAGAGGCTCCAAAGCAATACCCCCACTACTGCTATTGGTACAGCAAAAAGTAAGTATTTCATGACAACCCAGAACCCACTAACCTCACTTGTTTTGACAATAGGACTAACATCAGAGGGGAAATCAAATATAAAGCTCTCCAAGACTTCTTCTTGTTTAACAGACCCCACTTCATCCAGTAATTGTGTTAAATTGGAAAAAACACGTGAGAGTAAAAAAACACAAAGAGGTTCAGCAGTATAAGAATGTAAATTTACCCTTGAAAATATTTGGGGACTCTCACGTTGAAGTAGTTCACTTAAAGTTTTACTAGAGGAAACAGCAGAGTTATTCCCTGCAAGAGAGCACCTGCCATTTATCAACAACACATTATATCCTGCTTCTTCTCGAAAAGTAGTCACCAAATGTACTAATTCATCTGTGAAAAGAGATGGATATACTGTTAAAAAAATGTGCTTTGGGTGGGAAGATAATGAAAGTAAACCTCTGAGAAATATTACACTTGCTAAAGAATTATCTGAGTTTACATCAATGTGTACCATATCAAACTGTATACCAGACAGAGGTAACTTTCCAAAGACTACCTTATTAAGTGGTATAACTGGAACATGGAGAAATGGTGTATTATTATTCTTCTCATATACCTCATATTCACAAGTATTATATACTAGAGTACATTTTGTAACTATTTTAGAAAATCTATCCGATAGATTTCCATAAAGTGGCATAGCTGACTCTTCTGTTACCGTAGACTCATATACAGGTACATGGACGCCTAAATCTGCAAGATCTTTTTCTATCCCGTGGCCAAGGACGGCATCTCCATAAATGAGTGCATACACAGTGATGGACTCTTTACTAGAATGACGTACCACTTCTGAGTGGTATTGTGTAAGATAGGGTCCAACACAAGAAGTAGCAGAACAGAGATGGAGAATCCTTGCGACACCACCCTTTGAGGTACGACTTGCACGTAGCAACAACGTCTTAATGATTGCACTCTCACCATAAAAACCTTTACCATTATTTTTATTTTGATTATATTCCATCAAAGAAGGATTTTGTATATTTGTTGTAAAGAAGCGCATCACCTTGTGGGAGGCTTCTCCTGCTCCAAGTGGCTCTGCAACAAGTATGCTATGGCCAGCAAGAGACTCTGAAAGAGAGAGAAGACGCACACCAGAGACTTTAGCGCAATGCATCACATGAGATGCACGTCTGTTTAATAGTAAAGCATCTTCTTTTTCAAATAAAAAATTCAGCACGTAAAAAGAAAATACAATAGATACAACAGCAACTATCAGGTTTAGTTTTATAAGTTGCATCTCATCAAAAAAGTCAGAAAAAAAAAAATAAAAAAAAAAACTAATTTAAACGTCCCCAACGAGATTTTCTTATTGACTATGCTCTACACGCAATACTAAGGCACCAAAACTAAGAAAAAAAAAAAGGAAAAAAGAAAAAAAGAATACATTCATCAGGGAAAAACAGCCAGAAAAAAAAAAAATAATTTTGCCGGACAGACACACAGCAACATACACAGAAAAGGAAAACCCCCAACAAGAAGAATTTGAAAAGAATTAACAAAAATAATCCGAGTAAGCAACTGATGATAGCCAGGCGTACTTTCCTTCATTCCCTTTGTACTATTTCTTCCCTACCTTCTCTATTTCTTCGCGGCCTTGCGCTCTGCCATCTCTGCGCGGATGGCCTTACCCTTGGCGGAGCGGTCCACCTTCTTGGTCTTCGCGCGCACCTCCTGGATGTACGAGAGGTCGGCGCCGTTGATGCCGCGCTCGGCCTTCACGGTGCGGGCCGCACGGCGGCGGACGACGCGGTCGGTTGTTGTCTTGCGGTGGATGCGGCGGTACGTGCGGGTCCACGGGATGAAGCGCGGGTTCTTCTTGCGCATGTACATGACGAAGCACTTTGGGCGGGAGAAGGTCAGCACGGGCTTCGTGGACAGGAACGCGAAGGGGACGTAGCGGCGGCCGTGGCCGGGGTGCACGGCGAAGTGGGAGAACTCACAGTCGATCGTCCGCATTTGGCTTCTCAACTTTGAAATGAATAAAAAAGGAAAATAAAATAATAATAAAAAAAGGTGATAAAAACTTTTACGCATATAAACATATATCAAACAGAATAATGATAATATAAAAAAGAAATAAAGTGAAAAGGAGTAACCTAAGCACAGAAAAGAAAACAGACAGACAAAAAAAAAACATCAATAACCATATCATGCACGTACACATGGAACTTCTGTGTGACTCCGTATTACACCTTACAGCGCTCCCATTCAATTGATTATGTCACGGAGATATATATATATATATATATATATATTTTTTTTTTTTAATTTTCTTTTTCTTTTTTCTCATTCTTATGGCAAGATGCAACGTCGCATAATAGGAGATCAAATGACAATTTCACGTTTAGACGTGTGCTTATGCAGCATAACTCTGCGAATGTTGAACCAGGAGGTAAACAAAGAAGAAGAAGAAGAAAAAAAAAAAAGACGACCTAATCTGATATATAAATATATAAAGGAACCAATCATCTATGAAAATAATATTATTTACTCATGTAAACAATATCATTAAGGAAAGGTATTTTGAAATTTGAAAACAAAACAAAAGAAAAACAGGAAAAATAACGAAATGAGCCCCGGTATTTTTTGTGTAAAAACACAAGATTACAGCTGAAGTTTAAGCTTATTGAAGTAGCCAAATGTGTGAGAACGCATTCGAGTAACACGTCCTTGCTGTGGTTCAGTAATACTAAGTAAATAAGGTCGTAAAGCTTCCAGAGATCGTCGAAGTGATGCCTCTCGTTTTCCTCGTCTGTCAAGTCCTTCAATAAAATGAGCCAAATACTCTGGTGGAATGATTCCCCATACACGCTGTGTTTCTTCTTCCTGTATATCTTTCCCATTACCACTATTTCCGTTTGTATTGTTTGTTTCATTATCATCATCAAGTAACATTTGTTTAGAATTTTTTATGGTATCTTGTAATAATTCACGTGGTTCAGGTAACAAAGGAAAATTAGGGTCTGTAGCTGCAGTGGTCTGCACAACAATATTTCGATCAAAAGGGAATCGCCAATACATTCGACGATAGCGATCCATACCGAGTGGACGAATAAGAGCTCCTGTGTCATTTCCATCTTGAATACCCACATATTCACGTACAACTTCACTTAATCGCTTCTCTACGTCATTAAATAATTGTTGTCGTTTTTCCTCATATGTCTCTGTTGTTTCTTTCGCTGTTTTGGTTGATGAAAACTGTTTAACCAGATGTTTAATTTCTTTTTCAGCCTCTTCACGAAGTTCTTTAGATCGCTTTTCCATTGCGATTTGAGCTTCTTCATGCATTTTACGTATTTTATCCGCTTCTTCTTGCAATTCAGGTGATGAGAGTGCTTCTAACACCATGTACTGTAAAAGATTTAAACGATCTTCCATATCCAAATTTCCCCATGCCGCCATTTGTCTTAACTCTGTGATTCTCTCCATAGTCAACTTAATGGCAGCAAAAAATCCACTTGGTGGCTTCTCTGTTTTCTCATCTGCTTCATTCTCTTTTTTAGTTTCCTCCTCATTTTCTTTTTCTCCCTTGACGCCTTCTTCATTCTTTTCATTCTCTTCCTCCTCTTCCTGTTCCTCTTCTTCTTCATCATCATCTTCATCATCCTCATCCTCGTCCTCATCATCATCTTCATCATCATACGAAACAGTTTTTGAACGTGGTGGTGCACGTTTCTTTTTATTACCACTTGTCACTCCCACAAACTCAACCATAGTATCAAACCAATCCTTTCCGCGTGTAACGATTCGTGGACCATTTGCAGCACGAAGATTTTCCATCGCAACTTCAACAAGTGCACTTGTAATTTCCTCCATGAGTCCATTATCGCGTCCCTCATGTGATAAGAGTCCTTTAAGAAACAAACTAAACGGCATTTGTGAAAGATGTAAGGGTTTAGGCAATGATGTTAACATAGTCCATATAAAAAGAGCCTGTTCATATTGTTCTGGAGTTTCCAATGGTAACTTAGCATAGCGTACATAGGCGCTATTAACAGGATTTTTTATCTCTGTATCTTCCACAAGACTTGCTGGGTCTAACTCTCCCAGATGAGAACGCACTAACTGTCGTTCCTCTTCACGTTTAGCAGCAAGTTCTTCTTTCATTTTGGCACGTTCAAGTACCTTCGCCCGTTGTTCCTCTCGTTTGGCTCGTGCAGCTTCACGTGCTTTGGCTTTGGCAGCAAGTGCCTCTTCTGAAGGTCCTACAAAGGGTGGAGTAATAAAACCTTCAATACGATTAATCTCAGTTAAGCAAGCATGGGCAATAGGGTGTAACAAATCCTCATCTAATTCATATCGACAATCTTCATCTGTTTTAAAAGTTTGAGAAGCATTCTCAATCGCTTGAGAAATATTTTCCAACGTTACTTTAAGAAATGGTTCTTGTGTCTCTTGTGTATTATTTCTTTTAACTTGAAAAGAAGAACGTTCTGAATCAATTATATCTTGTAATTCTTTTACTCGTTCTTCCAGAAATTCAAAAATAGGTAATAGATTATTATATCGTACCGCGTAAACATGACCAAGAAGCTGAATCATATGATTAAGAAGAGTTACAGCTTTTTTCTCTTGATTTGTTAATGCCCGAAGACGACCAAATACTGGTTTCTGTAAAGTTGTCTGTGAGAGAATTTTTCGTACAACACGTTTTACCGGTTTCTTCTCACTATCTTCCATTTTAATTACTTTCTTTGGTTGAGTATCATCTGTTTCCTTTACTTCCATACGTTTAGGACTATCATCTCTTTCATGGGATGTACGTTTACGCGACAATGTTGGAGAACTTAAAGATGTACGATCATCATCTGTAATAGTTGCCCCAATTTCTTTTTCTTCTTGAGTTGTAGATACCGTTGACTTAGAAAACATTCCAATCTTTTCACCTGCATCTTTCATTTGCTGGCGTAATATCTTTTCTATGGCATTAATATGATCCAAAAAAGAAGAAATTTCCCTAGCTGGGGATTCAGAAGCAGAAAGATCCTTTTCACTGAGAACTGAGAGTCGTTGCACGACATCCTCTGATCCTCCATATAACTTGACAACACGTTTAATCGCATCGTAGTTAATAGTAACTTTCTGTAAATCACGTGAACGTCCCCCGAGTGGAATAAAAGAAAGAAGTTCAGAAAGATAATTATCTGCCGCATGCAATGTCGCAGGACCAAAGGTTTTCTTACTCTGTGTATCCGACTCTACTATACTTAATGCAGCTAAAAGAGTTAATTCGGATGATCGAATCTTGTACGGCAGCACTTCATCATTTGGGAGAGAACTAAAGGCGGCCGCACTCCCTGCAGCTCCATCCATTTTGAAGATCTGAAATGCCGTTCTGGTCTTGAGAATAGCACGAGGATAAGAACAACTCCCCGACTCCTCCTGTTCGCCCACGTCTTTTCCCTTCGGTGGCATCCTCTCAGCTGCCGTTAAACTAACCACACACGGACTTCTCTTCACTACTCACAAAGAGAAAGAAAGAGAAAGAAAAAGAAGAGAGGAAAAACGTCCGTCTTCTTTCTTCTTCTTAAACTTAATCCGTCAGCTCCTGCGGAATATATGCACTATGTTTATATAAATATTGTTTTGTGTGTGGGGAAAGGGGAGGAAGAAAGAAAGAAAGAAAGAAAGAAAGAAAGAAAGAAGAAAAAAAGGGTTAAACATTATTCATGTACAGAGAGAATTCGTAATTAATAAAAGAAAGGAAAGAAGGTAATTGAAGCAACAACACCAAGAAAAAAAATATATATATATAAAAAAAAAAAAATGACGACAGGCAACCAGAATAACACAACTATTTTAGTAACACCTTATGTAACTGAACGCATACGCAGCATTAAGGAATGCGCAGACCAAATCATCCACCAATACAAAGCTGGGTAAGATATAAGTCATATCAAAGAAAAAAGAAAAGAAAAGAAACAAGAAAACCTCAGTATTTTCTTCTTCTTTTTCTTCTTCTTTAGATTAACTCAGCAACCAACTGAGCATCCTTTAACTCTGGCACACTCAAACGAGGTGTAACAACTGTAGTCACACGCCTAGGCTCCGGAGTTAAAGCAGATGATGTATGTGAAGAAATTAAAGTACTCACCTCCTCTCGTGTTTTTGAGTCATCCTTTGTTGTATCCATTACTTTCATCCACCAATCGTGTGGTACTCTAGATGATAATATGTTATCTTCCTGTAAATGAGGTAGAAATGACGGTGTGGCGGCTAACTCTCCTCGTGCAAAAGGTCTTGGTAAGAGACCACCAAGTGTGTAAACACGTTTAAATCCATCATAATTAGAGGATTCATGATATAATGCGGCAGATCCTTCTTTAAATCGAAGATTAGGTGTTACCTTTGTTCCTGTCAACTTGCTTGGTCCAATTACTGTTTTCTTAGCGTAAAGTGAACTTGCTAATTCATGTTGTAAATCTGTGTGTCCACGTAATGCTGGATCTGCGCGAATAAACTGCAGTTGATTTTCCCGAACAATACGTTGAATCGCTGCAAGGATGTGTTCAATATGGTACATAATCATAACATGTGCTAATTCTTCCATAACATGCCAGACGAGTGCTCGAAGTGGAAACATTTCATTTGTAAAAGGTAATTCAAAGTATGTTGTGCCAATATCAATTTCAGAAGACCAAAGAAATAATTGTAATTCCCCAAATAATGTCTCTACAACATCACTTTTAAACTTGCTTACTACACGATCACTTAGTGTTAACTTTTGTAATTCAAGATAATCATAAGCACGAGCTAAACCATCATTTCCATCAATCATAAACTGTGCATATCCAAGGCGTCCACGAATACCACCTTCTCGAACAGGAAATAAAACATTAAAACGATCATTAAAAACATATTTCACCACATTATCTCCAACCCACTCAAGACGTTCAAACTCCCAAGATCGTCCAGCACCTCCTGCACTTTGATGAACATTAAATGTATCACGAATAACATCTCGATCTTTTAAAAACTTTAAAAGGTACTGTAATCGACGCTTACGAATATGACTATTATCATGACTTAATGAAGGAATACGATTAAAAACAGGAGAAGTATTAAGACGATGCCACCACATTTTTACAATTTCCTCTGGTGTTCCACAGTATGCACGTACCATTTCTAACATTAAAGCTTCACGTCCAGAATGAGGGATAACACCGCTATGACTGTGCCACTGCATATAACTCTCATTACACAATTTACACCTTTTACCATCAAAATCGCTAAAAAGATCTACAAACTTCTTTAAAGGTACATCCACACTTAATTGAAATGCACGTCCACCAGCATCGGAAACCATATCTTTACGGTAAATACGAACATGTGCATAAGGATCATTTGGGTCAGTCTGAAGATTTTCACTATCAATTGGAAGTGGATCTGGTAAGGAAGCCGTATTGCTATTAGATGAAGAAGAAGAAACGAGACGCACACGACGAGGTGTAGGTGCTATATCTGCCTGTGTTGGGAGTGATGAGATTTGACGCCGTGTACTCATCAGAGAATTAAAAGACCACAACATATTATATAAAATAAAACGACGCCATCCTTGCCGCTGCATGAGATCTGCAGCGTCACACCTTTGTGAACTTCAATTTACAAAATGATGAAAGAGAAACACCAAAACAAAGAAAGCAAGAAAGAAAGAAAAAAAAGTAATATGTTACATATATATATATATATATATATATATATATCATTACAAATACATTTATTAAATGTAGAAGGAACAATTAAAAAGAATAAAAAAAAGTGTATATCCCATTATGAACACACTTTTTTTTTTGACTTTTTGTTCTTGTCATTTTCTATTTCATTTGTTTCTATCATTTACAACGTTTCTTTCTGTACATGTTCCACCAGATATATATATATATATATATATATATATATACGCAACACACTATCATCAATCCGTCATCATAATTACCAATCAAAAGTAGTAAACACAATCTCATTTACTTTTTACGCTTCCCTTGTTTTGACTCCGCCCGCTGTGAAGTTTCCGAGATTTTCTTTTCAATCTCTACTAGCCGTGCCTCAATCTCATCAAGTCGGTCAAGCGATTTACCAGAGACTTCCTTTTTAATAATCTCCAACTGCTCACGAATACCATCAGTATAATGCGGGTCATTAAGTAATAATAACCGCAATCGCTCTTGTTCACATGCGTCAGAGACTTCTTCTTCTGTCTGCATTCTTTGCGCTTCTGCTTCCCGTTGTTCTTCTTCAACTTTGGACCGCCATTCATGTTCTTCTGTGGCGGTGACCAGTGAAGGTAAAGTGGCAGGTGGGATTTGGTGCATATGCGTTACATCAAGACACTGAAGGTTCGCTACTTCACGAGGGACGAATGCATAAACGTACATTTTATAATGACGATAGTAAGAACGCAAGAGATATTCGTCAATTTCTTGTCCATCTCGTATATTAAATATACCACACGAGAAGGGTGGACGGGGTACACTGTGTTGAACCATGAGATCCCGCATCCTGTGATAGGACTGGGCACGGGTATACTTTTTAGACATACTCTCTCTGTGAACCGTGAGAACAATACCAACAAGAGCACTGACCTTTTCTGCTGACATGAGACGTGATTTTGTGAAGAGAATAAGGTGTGCGAGCATATCCAAGAGAATCATTACTTGTCCTTCATTATAATTGGATATACCAATAAGTTTTCCCTCATTCGCTTCATCGATTATTTTTAGTACAGATCGAATAGTGGGAACATCAGCGGCAACAAGACACTTGTGCGTATCCTCAGGACTAAGAATTCGCCATGTTAGCGAATGAGCCATAGTCTATCACTATACAAATAACCACAACTTGTCGTTACTCTTCTTTTTATTATTATTACTATGGTTATTGTAATTGTTTTCTCAGACAATCAGATGTTGAGATGCAAAGAAATAAAGAAGCGACAACTTCCCCCTTTTCTTCTTAACTATTTACAGTATAGAAACACAAGTAGACGTCTTTCTCTATATGTATGTATGTGTAACCTCTGTAAACCTAATACCACAATACAATAGTGTTCGAAAGTAAAGAGATAAAGAAATTATAATAAATAATAAAAAAAACATTTGATCAAGAACAAAATCAATAACAATACCATGTCAAAAAGAAAAGAAAAACTCTTTAAAAAAAAAATATATATATATATATATATATATATATATATTACTTGATATGGGGGAAATCTCCCTTCATGTTTATGTGTCCCAGCGAATAAGAGAGAAAAAAACAAAAAGAAAAGACAAAAAAGAAAAGAAAAGAAAAAAAAGAGAAAAACAAACCTGTTAGACTCTTATGGTGATCGCTCATTCTTGTTGCTATGGGGCATTAACATTTTCTTCGTCATGGCCCGAAGAAAGTAAACACGGGCTTGAGTCGCAATCGCATGCATTCTTTCACCCTCTTCTCCTGTAGTAAAGGAGACTGTGGAAGCAGCAGAGAATAATATATCCTCCAAATACTTTACACGGTTATTGGAATCATTTCTTTCTGTTAACACCACCTGAGAAGACTCTCCAAGTATTATTTTGAGTTTATCGTACAATATCGCAGCCTCTTCACTACACCCACCACTGGCGCATGCCCGAAGACCATAAAGTAAAAACATCGCACGATTAAGTTTCATGTGTTCACTATTTTTGTTTTCCTTACTGTAAACATCTTCTCCTTCTTCTGTGTTATTAGGTGTATCCAATAATGGCATCATTTCCTTTACATGTTCAAGGGCAATCTTCCAGCGACGTTGGCGAACCAACAGCAATAAAAGAGCATTGGCATTTGGTAAATCCCAACAATCCTCTTGCAATGCTCGCAGTCTTAGAGCCGTGTTGGATAGATTAACAGGTGCTCGACATAAAATACGCATTAGGGAACTTACAACAGGTAATGGTAATGGTTTAGTAGAGGATTTATTCACTGAACCCGATAATTCAAAGGCATCCAAGAGTGATTCTAGAGCTACACTCCAATTATTATGTCTAACTGCAACTTCACAAAGCAAAGATTCCAAAGATGCTGTTGTTACTGGTTGTTTTGTTGTGTTTTGTTGTTCTCTTTCTTTAAATAATTTTACACTCATAGATAGTGCTCGGCTATCACGTAATGCTGATCTCGCCCTAATATTGAGCATCAGCCAGTGAATATCACGTTCTTCTGGAGAATGCAAAGAAGTCCACATATTCAACCAAGCCCATCCAATATCTCTTCGCATAATAGACATACTAAAATGCATCATTGGTACAAGAAGTCCTGATAAAACCATTTTCTCATGATTTTGAAGGGATTGTTTATTTTTATCCATTTCAGATGATGAATACGTATGAGAACGGCAGGCTGTATGATCCACAGCATCCCAATATACAGATATTGCTTGTAGCCAAAGTGATGTACCATTAGCAGAAGATTTAGCCCCGCCACGCACACGATCCAAAACTTCAGCAAAGAAAGAGAGACTTAACGTCCCAGGAGATAAACGAAGGTGATGTAATGCTATATGCATCATTGTAAGAGCATCATTCCATTGCATCCTACGAATTTGTGAAGTAAGTGCGTGTTCTAGCTTAAGTGCATCATTTTCATGACGAAGACTTAAAGCATAAACTAACTCATGCAATTTGGCCGTATTTTTTATCCGTGCAATATCCTCTGGTGAGAAGGTACGTTGTCGTAGTAAAGAAGAAGAAGAAGTATTGTTGTTGTTGTGGCTACCAACTATTCTTCTTTTTCGTTTTGTGTAAAAAAGTCGATGTAAATGTTGTAATTCTTTCTGTCGTAAATGTCGTCGGACTTGTTTTCCTAAACCACTATCATGTCCCAATAGACGTCGAATCCTCAACCGTGTAGAGGTCGGAAGATGACTCCAAGTAAACTCTGTATGGAGTCGTAATAGAATACGTACAACAAGAACAACCACCTCCACGGTTTCTTCAGATGTGGATCCAAACAATACTTTTTCACTAGTGGGGGAAATAGAGAGAAAACGAAAAGTTTCCTTTACAAGTCTTGAGGATTCATTAATCACCTCCAACATCAATTGTTTTTGTTCTTCTTCTTTTTCTTTTTCTTGTCCATACTGAGGATGATCTTTTGCATGTGTTACTCGTGTAGGTATAACCCCTAATACTTCTACCACAATACCAAGAAGAAGTGTTAACTCTTTTACTGTTAATAGTGAAAAGTCTCGTTTTTGTGATAAGAGTTCAACATTATTAACACATAATGTTAACGTAATACGAGTAACACAAAGAATTAATTCCGTCGCTAAAAGACTTCTTTCTGGTGCTCGACGTACAGATGCGAGATCTTCTGCCATATACAATTTAGAGAATATTCCCCACAGACCAATCTCACCATAGAGTGTATCCAAGAGTAAAGTAGAAAGATGAAGAGCACTCTCTTTCGAATCCACCGCTACAGAAGCTAATGCTACAATACGAGGGAGAGTCATACACACCAATCTAAATGAATTAATCATACTATCAGATAAAATAGCACCACTAAGCTTTTCTGATATATTTTCATTCTGTTGGTTCATTATCATATCAGTATTCTGTTTTTGCCCTTCTGAGGAAGTAGAATCATGAGAATACAATCCCAATTTGATAGAGGTTGCTAATACTTCTTGAGCTGCAGTTTCAGCACGATAACGGTCCACCTCAATATGTAAATGTGATGTAGCCAGTTTAACATAAATCATACACTGTTTTATTGCAGTTGGAAGATTTATTGAATGATCTTTCATAAGTTCCATATACCTTTCAGGTCTATCCGCCTTTACAGAACAAACATGTGATAACCAGATTGCTTGAACGGCGTATCCAGATGCGGTTTCATCCAAAAATTTGGGTACAACATGATGTGCAACAAACTGTTCCACACTACGGTTTTTTACCCACGGTTCTGCAGATAAAGCTAAAAGTATAAATATCACATAATCTCTTTTAGGTAGTTGTATACCGTGTTTCTCTGCAGTTTGTAGATAGCGAAGAGATACTTTCCATGATCCCGAACCCAATACTGCTCTTCGCATAGTAGAAAGAAATTCTATTGGAAGGGACCAACCACGTTGTGACTGGGGTCGTGATGAAATGTAAACACTCCCAATATGAAATGCTTCTTTCCAATAGCAGTAACTCTTACAAGTAATTGAAATTTTACGCCTTGTAATAGATCTCTGATATTTTTTTTTCAACATGGGTTGATCAGTAGAAATAATACTTTTACTCGCATCATGTAATAACATGAGATGATTTAAAATTGCCGTTACTTCAATAATTCGATTTGCTTCTTCGGTTGCTATTAACTTATCATGTTCATTTACCTTATCGTGGATACAGGACTCATTATCATCATTATCCTTATCATTATTATCTATGGTTTGGGAAACTAGAGTAGGGGGTTCATTCTCATCAATCATATCTATATTCCCCATAGATGCCTCATATAGAACCCATCGTTTAACCCAATCAGGTTGTTCATGAAATAGACGTGTACCAATTACAGGAATTTCTCCACCTACAATAGAAACATGAGCATCACCTTTTTTTCCATTTGTTTCCTTCATAATAGGTTCAGCTAATATTTCACATGAAGATACTTTATTATTTTTCACTTCTTTTTCTTCTTCTTCTTCTTCTTTTTTTTTCTCCAGAAAATTAGAAGATGACTTTTTACAACTATTAGCACCATTACCACCACCACCTTCATCATCATCAACAGTAGTACAATGACTACCACTAACAGTACTACTCTTACTATTTTGTCCCCGTGGTTTATCTGTACTTTCCCCTTTTCGTCTCTTTTCCATTAATTTTCTCTTTTCCCACAATGAAGAGTCTTTTTCTTCCATCCACCCCTTTGATTGTGATGCTGCTACTGTCGTAGACCGCTCATACGGTAAATTGCTTAAGAGCAACACCACATCCCACTTCTGCAATTGTACACCTAACGTTAACAATCGTTGGTAAAAACGCACCGCAGCGTCAATAGCACGTCTGTGAATAAGAAGATGTAGAAACCATCTTGCCCTAAGAGAAAGAGACTCCGATATCTCTGATGCATGAAGACAACTACGACGTAGGGATGTCCACATGGCAAGTAGAATAGCCGCATCTTCTTCATTTTTCTCTAAGAATTCAAGTAAGGGATCACCACTAGTAGAGACACCAGAGGTATCTTCGCTATGATGGGGTATATTACCATCATCCTCAGAGACTAGACCCAACTCTAATGCCTTTGCCCGCACATCCATTCGCATCTTTGGAGATACGACAGTATTACTACTTATATGAGAGGAAGTAGTAGTAGTAGTAGTAGTAGTAGTAGTAGTAGTAGATATTGGTCCATTAACAAAAAGATTATTCTCACAGGATGTGGCTAACTTTGGCATTACGGTTTCTGGTGTTATTGTTGTTGTTGGAACTGCGGTAATTCCAAGTAAACGCCACGCTGGACCAAACCGGCGCTGCAATTGCCGTTCATGCCGTCGAGATGAGACCGCACGGAATGTACACAAGACACTCGTGCCAGTCAACGTTGGGTGTACATGCGCCGATGTCCCCCGCGATGGACGCATACAGTCCACACCGCCTCAGTCCTCTACTACCGCTAACAAGAGAAAGAAAGGGGGAAATATTATCATTAGAAATAATAATAACAATAAGCAATGAAATATCATTCATTATCAAAAAAAAAAAAAGAATCAAAAAACAAACAAACAAATGCGCAACATTCATAAACACACAAACGCAAGAAGGAGAGTTACCATAGCCTTCTCTTCTTTCCCTCTTCTCTGAAATCATGGAAAATGCAACAAAAAGAGTCACCTACACACACACACACAAACACAGATACAAACGCACGAATACAAATACACACAACCAAATAAACACATACATACGCAGACCGAGAAAAAAGAAAAAAGAAAAAACGCCCAAAAATTCAAAGGAGACATCAAGGTCAACAAGAAAGAAAAGAAAAAAAAAGTTATCAATAACTAACATAACCTTTCTCAAGATGTTTTCTTCTGTTTCCCCTTAGATATCGATGTATATTTATACAATGTACCCATTAATGAGGACACCACATTACTTGCCAAAAAAAAGGATACCACTATTCCACCTAATATCAAACGTTGAGATGGAGACGAAAAAAGAAAAATTGAATACAACGACACCTCTTCCTTCTTACTATTAGCGTTACGGTAAAGAAAAAAAGCTGGTAATAAGAACGGAATCAAAGCCTCAATGAGCAAGTTTAATCTGAGACAAAGACGCCTAAAAGAAGCTTGTTCCTTTGGTTTTCTATCGCCCAAAGATGCACGATGAGAAAGTAAAACCCTTCGTATACGTCTTAGCCAAAATTCTCGTGTACCCAAAAGCACCCATGAAGTGGCAGCAACCAGAATAAGACTAGTAGCAAAAGGTAAGAAAATAAGAGTTTTTAATTCCTCTTCTAATGCTCCAGTAAGATCTGTCCATATTCCTATACGTGGTATGTTATCTGTGCCATTAATACCAGTGTCTTGTCCAAGTCTCAGTTTAGCGATAAGAGCTAAGGCCACTACAAATACATCCTTTGGTAATAATGATTTACTGTAGTGAACCCTTTGTATTTGTCGCTCAGCACTCGTTAATTGTTCTTTAAAGGAAACAAGCATTTTTTTACGTCGTGTATATTCTTTTAATTCTTGACGCAAAGCAGTAGTAGATTCATCATTAGCACTCATCTTGGATTCCACCTGATGTAACTCCTTAATAAGAGACTGACGCGCATAAGGTAGTAATGGAGTCACTAACGATAGAACCATTTGGTGTGCCCGTCTACTAGCATTTAATATCGTAGATGAAACAAATAAATTTTCTCTTATTTGGGTCATATTAATCTTTTCACCTGCAATTTTCTCTGTTATATTGGATGCATACCATGCCGTTTCTATACGTCTACTTTCTTCTTCCATTATACGCACCTCTCGTACACCGCGAGTTACCGGTTCACCATCAAGCACTATTGGGTACGGAAGAGCAGATATTTTCTCCATAACCCATGTATTCTCTTTTACACTTGTCATATTAACTACAGTATGACTAAATACAGTATTTATTAAATGAATATATTCTTCTTCACGTGAACCATCTTTAGCGATATCTGGAGCAAAGAGAGAATCACTAGAGAGTATCTCTTTTAAGAAGAGAGTATCTTTTTCAAGAAGTTTTCGCACATTTTCAAAGGAAGTTACATTTACAGATGAAGAATTTTTGAGTCCTTTTATTAACTTCCATCGTGCATCTGCACGAGCCTTTACAGCTAATGGTGATAATTCCACTGTAATAGATTTTTGAGATTCTTTTTTACTATTTTTCTTCTCTCCCTCATTTTGCATCTCTTCACGTTGCTGTTTTTCCTCTTGTTTCTTTTGCTCCTTTACCCTAAGTAACCATTCCTCATATGCCGCATCTTCTTTTGCAAAAAAGGCGGCATCATCATCGCGTCTGTTTCCGTGTGGCCACAATCCCACAGGTGTCTGCAAAGGCGCCGTAGACTGTTGTATCTTTCCTGAAGTGAGAAGCACAACTTCACCACTGTTGGGATCCACCCAAGTTGTCTCATCCGCCTGCACGGCTGTTTGTACTACTGTCAATAGCAACAAGAGAAGAATAAGCAGACGGTGAGGCAATAGCCTGGGAGTATCAACTCTATGATAAGACATGAGTTCCGTTCTTTTTCTTTTTTTCGTTGTTGTTGCTCTTGTTACCAGAGAGAGAGAGTGTGTGTATATATATATATATATATATGTATATATATGATTCCTTCTCTTTTCCTTTTCTTTTTCCTACTGTGGGTTATTTATTATTATTCCTTCGGTTATTATTATTATTGTTGAAAAAAAAAGGAAGAAGGAATACCAAAATGTAGTGTAGTAACAGAATAACACATGAATCAAAAATAATAAAAATAGAGAGAGAGAGAGAGGCACTAATAAAATAAAAGAAAAAAACAAAAAAACAAATGAACAGAGGACTCATCATTATTGTCACCTATTAAGCCTCCCCAGCAGCTTGAAGAAGAGGAATATAAAAAAGAAAAACAAAAAAAAAAAAAAAAAAAAAAAAAAACAGACACGAGACTAAAAAGAAAACTTTGAAATGATACCAAAAAAAAAAAACACACACACATTATATAACTGTAGTATCACTGAATATATTAAACCGCACTGTTAACACACAAAACTGCAAACATCCCATCAACATTCCCCACATCACCAGAAAAACAAACAAAAAAAACACAATAAAGAAAAGAGGGGTATTTTTCTTTTTTTTCCCCCTTTCTTAACTAGTCCTCTGCAAGAGAAAAAAAAAGACAATATCAAAAACACAATGGAGTTTCGCACGAAAAAAAACACACACACATAAACAACAAACTTGAGAAAACTAAACCAAAGAAAAAAGAAAAAATTATTGAAATCAAAACAGAGAAAAAAAAACACAGAAACGGGATAAATCCCGTTTTTCCTTTTTTTCGTTCATTCGTGTGGGAATATCTCCACATATATATTTTTTCCCCCCAATCTTCTGGTGCGTTTTGGATCGCATTATTTTCTTCTACAATGAGTTGCACAAATACAACTAGTTCTTTCATTTTTTTTTTATTTGATTGATTGTTTTAACCCTTTTCGCTCGCAGTCATTTTCATTCTATTCCACATATATACTCTTAAGCTTGTTTCTTGTCTTTCTTTGACTTAATCCTTTTAACGTACACCATATAACCAGTGACGGATACGGCGGCAACAACCCCCACCAACACCGCCAAACCCACTCCCTTGCAGTATTCACATTTCTCACCGGACTTTTTGGGAGCACTTGACTTTTTATCGGAGGAGATTTGTTTCCGTGCGGCGTCCACGCCCGCCTTGACGCCCGATCCCACGGACTCGCCGACGCTTGCGGCTGTTTCCCGCACCTGATGGGTGATCTTCACTGTGTGTTCCTTGGCGCTGTTGAGATGCAGTGTCTGTCCAACCCACGTGAGGCCGGCGGCGACCCAGTGGAGTGCCGTGTCCAGCGTGCTGTGCTCCCGTCTGGCAGGGGCATCGTAGCGAACAGCAAAGGCTTCCATCTCCGTCAGATATTAAATACACAAGAACCCACACGTGAATAATAGATATCGGGATGAAAAGAAGATACTTAATATTACCAAAAGCGCTCAGAAAGAATTCACAGCACTACTTTCGCTGATTTTATTATTATTTTTTTTCTTCTCTTTCCTTTCCTCTTCTTTGTTTGTTGTCTTGGTTAAAAAAAAAAAAAAAATGGAGAGAATGAAAAAAGAAAGAACACCCTGTAATATTTTTAGTCGTCGTTTGAGACTTTTTTTTTTTTTTACACAGTTGTAAAGAATTGCTGCTTATTGTCAGCCCATGATTCAAGTAGTAGGTCCAAAGGAAAACTAATAATAATAATAATAATAATAATAATAATAATAATAATAATAATAATAATAATAATCTGGGATAATATGCAGCATTTCAAGTATACACTGAGCAACGGTAAAAAAGAAAAGAAAAAATGTGGAAATTGCAAACTCCTCTCTCCCTCACCTCCACTACATCATCATCTCCTATACACCAGCAACAACATAGTTACATACGAACACAACCTTAGAATAAAACGTTGTAAATTAATGTAACTGTTTACAACCAGAATATAGGGAAAAAATTCGTTACCATATTTTTTATCTTTACATAGAATTTCTGCAGCGACGCAGCATAATATGTACCTGTAACAGTGTGTAAGCGTCTATTATAATAAGCTCCCTCACCAAATTTCGGAGGTGGAAGATCATCATCCTCAACGTCACCAACCCTATTCCATGGTTCTACCAAAAATTTTCGAAGCTCGGGTTCATTCTCTTCAGCAGAAGGAGAAGAAGAATCCAAATCAGTATCAGTAAGGGTACTACCTCCATTAAGGGAAATACCATAGTATCGTGCTTGCTTAATGGATAATTCAGTTAACATATCTAGCAACCATTTTTCTGCATCTTTGTTACTAAATCCAGAAAATGGTGAAATCCCTGTCTGACGGATATACTGAAGTAGTTGCCGAAGACACAAAGGATTTCCAACTGGTCGATACATACCTTCATAGGGTCTCTGTGGTGGAAAAGGACGTCCTTTACGCATGGCAACTTCAATCAACACCCCACTACACATACCTAGAGCACGAAATATCTTATCATTAATTTTCACATTATCAATAAAACCCTTATCAACAGAAGAAACCTCATGTGATGTTTTTACTTCTCCTTGTTGCCAATTTCTTACTCGTTTAAGAGTAATATATGCAAAAAGTTCCATCATAGATTCTGGTAAAGCATAAAAAAATGGCATAGATGAATCAAGACCAAAAAGTACACCATACTTTTTTGTTTTAGGTTTTAACTTGTGCCACTGAGCTGTTTTATGTTGTTCTATCCATGTTTCAACCAAACGATTTCCCCAAACGTGTTCTGAGATATAATAAGCAATGCTATGTAAGTGTTTGTTACCACGATTCATTTCTTCAATTAATATAAAAGTAAAACCATCAGGTTCACCAGACATTAAAGACATAGAAACAAGTTGTAGAGCAATAGAAGTTTCACGAACGTATTCTGAATTTATAACTGAAGCTGCCATCTGCTCTGCAATTTCAGTAGGAACTCCTCCAATTTGTTTTACCGGTATTATTTCCTTTGCTAAATTTTCCTCCAATACCTCGATTTCTGTATTGGTAAATGGGAACAAAAGAGTATCTTGTATTATACCCAAGAAACGTTGTGACCACGTCCATTGTGTATAATTCAAATAACTATGAATATCACTGGTAAATAAAAGTGGATTAAGATGATGCTCTTCAAATTGTCGTTGCAGTGTGTCTCTCAGCCGTTGTAATCTTCGCAATGATGCTTTTCGAACCCTTATGAACTCCCACGTCTTCCTGGCGATATTCCTCGGCCGCTTTGGAGCTACCTGTGGTGCCAGCGACTCTGCGGTTCGCCGGAGGGCGGCGGCGTAACTCTCGCGCGTGTCGCTGACGGCGGGCCGCAGTCCGGCGGTGCTGCGGTGGAGGGCGCTGGCCGGCAGCCGCGGGAGGAGCCACGCGAGGAGGAGCAGCGGGTCGGCGCGGTGGGGGTCGGGGCGGGCGAGGACGAGACTCCCGCCGCCGGCCGCCGCCTCCCGCCAGAGCCGCCCCGCCTCCCGCAGCAGAAATAACACCGCCTCCCGCCCATCACACACATCAGTAGTGGAAGAAATAGTGGAAGAAGAAGAACAGAGGGAAATCCCAAAGAGACGCTCCACCACCATCTTGGGATAAGGGCCCTCTCTTCCAGTCAAGGCGAGCAGCAGAAGACTCTCCTGCGAAATAAAACCAGACCGTGTGAGATCAGACAAGGCGCCATTCGTCCTCACGCGTTCCATGAACTTCCCACAAAGTGATACCTCCGGCCACTCTTTATTTCGTAGAAAACTGAGTTTTGTAAAATCACTGCGGTTTGCTTTAAGAAGAAGTTGCTCTGCATTTGCAGGAAGGACAGACATGGCAGAATGAAAAACTCCTGCACCAAGTTCTACAGCCTGAAATGCATACTCTGCAGCAAGTGATAATTTCATACCATTTAAAAGTTGAACATAACTAAGAAGGACCAAAATATCGTGAAGTACAAAATGTGCCTTCTTTGATTTTGCTAATACTTTAAATTGAAGGTGTTTCATGTTATTACTATCTACCAAATTTGAAGCACAAACACCCATTTTAAACCCATTACGACGTAAGAAACGCAACTCTTCTATATGTTCTTCACATGCACCGCCACGATCATCTTTTGAAAAGTAAACTTCATAATTTTTTTCTTCCACTTTCACATCACAGGTATACCTTAATTTTCGTAATAAAGAAAGAAGTATACACTCCGCACGCTTTAAATCACGTGGCATACCTTTAATACCTGCGATATATAATTGAGCTGTAAAAAGACCACGTAGTAAAGCAGGAGAAATTTCATCCTTAGTCCAACTATTAGAATTTTCATCACTTTCAGAACTTTCAATTTCCGTACTAACGGCATTTAAGCGACCTCGTGTTATATATGGTTCATTAATAACACTCCAACTATTTTCCACACCCAAAAATCTCTCAAATCTTAAAAGTTTATCTGCTGATGGCTTCATTTCAGTTAAATTATCATTATTGTTATTATTTGTTTTTGTAGTCAAAATTTGTTTCCAGAAATAAATTGAACTATCAGAGAGACTTGTCGAAATTAATCTTGCTGCTATTTGAGTTTGTTGTGGAGAAAGTATACCATGTTCTTTCATGGTTGCAAGTGTTAATTTTGCACTCTTAGATCCTGTACGAGCTGCTTCCCAAATACGTAGATATGCCTTTGGAGTTCGGTGCCACCAAATATTCATCATAGATTTTTCTTTATTAGAGGATGTATCATCAAGAAGTTCCATTATACCAGCAAAAAATTTTTTCTCTGATTGAAAAGTAGTAGAGATTGTACAAAGTCCTGAACAGGTTGAGAATATTCCACGATCCACATCATCCAATACAAGTTGACGTAAAAGGGAGAAATAATTTTCATTTTCGTTTTCATTATATCCTGTACTATTTAAAAGAATAACATGATATAGTGTTTGCAATTGTGTAATAGAAACAGTAGATCCACTTTGCATTATCCATTCCTGAAGTTTTCCCACAATATTACAGTATAAAGGACATCGAGAATCACATTTTTCATGCTCATCTTTTTTATCATGATAAAAAAAATTATCCATTATAGTGTTACAATTTTTTTTCTCTAATGTTCGAAGATATTGCATTCGTTTTTCAGTAGGTAAAACACTCTGGGCTTGCAGAGTTTCTATGGCGTGCCGAATATTATCACAACGTCTTGAGAAATGTAAAGAAGAAACATTTTCTTTTCCTTGATTGATATTTATAATAGGTATCTCATAATTTTTATACTCTCTATGGTGTTTTTGTTTCTTACTAAACTCTTGTAGTTGATTCATCATAATAACACGACTTTTGCGTTCACGGATATTATTAACATGTTGACGTCTTTCCTTTTTAATTTCATTATAATGAATACGACGTATAATATTATGAGTTTTTTCTACAGTTTTCATATATTCCTTTATTTTTTCTTTTCCTTCCCGTTTTATATTTCGCAATACTTGTCGGGTAATATTAACCTCAACATAGGGTCGTTGATGTAAATCATACTTTATATCTAAATCTCTAAAATAAATCCAAATGGTTTCATTACTTTGTGAGAGTTTCATTCCAATAAATCCTAATGTTTCCTTCTCACTCGTAATACTCATCTCCTTTTCACTAAAGAGTAACGCCTGAATAGCCTTTAATCGACGTACACCATAACTCTCTTCCAAAAATTTGGGTTGAAATACTTCACGTAATAACTCCCAGAAACTAAGATATGGACATTTACCATTATTTTTATCCATAAATAAAAGAGACCAAAGAAGTTTCTTAGCATCTTCACTTGAAGAGAGTCGTACATGTAGTGGTATTGAAAGATTAGACAAAAATTGTTCATTTGCAGTTGAAGTAGGCGTTTCATTAAAAAAACTCAACATATAACCTTCTTCTATGATTCCTTCTTCTCCAGCTGCGAGAATAATGGATACCCACAGAATAAGAAAGCATACTGTACAAAAACGCATTATCGTATATATAAATAAATATATATAAATATATATTTCCTTTGTAGTTTATGTATTTCTCTGCATTAAAAAGAGGGCGAAAGAAACCTTCACCTAAAGAAGAAAAGAAATAGAAAGGAAAACTAGAAATATCAAGAGGAAGAATAACAGAAAAAAAAAATATTTTATATATTTTTTTCTGTAGGCCCATTTAACAAAAACAAGATAAAAAAACATATGAAAAAGAAAACGAAAAAAAAAAAAAAAATGCAGAGTATCCAAACCCATTTGTATTTGCTATTATATTGCATGTTTGAGTGTATTGGGGAGGAGGGCATGGGAAATGCTAATGGAAAAAAAAAAACAGAGAATGAGAAAAATAACGCAAGGGATGCATATAAAGGAGAAAAGGAATAAAAATAAATAAATAAATACAAAAAAACTCTACTTTTACATTTCTTTTCTTTTCTTATCTTGTTTTTCTCTTTTCTATCTCTTTCTCTCTATTTTTTCCTCCCCTCACCCATTATAATTGTCTTTCTTTTTTTTCCTTTGGTCCCTTTACTGTACGCAAATCTCCCATATATATATATATATATATATATATATATATGGGTTCTAATTTTCTGTTCCCAAAACATCATCGAGAACTTTTTTAATGGGTCGCTGTTGTTTCTGACCCATTTTATGGCGACACAAGGGACACCCATTGCCTTTTAAAGACTCATACTCGTAATCATCCGCTTTAAAGAAGTGTTGACATCTCGGGCAGAGAAAAACTCCAACACTTTGATTCACCACGCGGTAATACTTATTTTGCACAGGTAGTGTACCATACCCGGGTTTAACAATAAACACCTCATCCCGACGCATGTGAGAAAGCATTTCCGCATTAACTACAAATGGTTGATATTCCCCGTTTCCACGACCAGGTCGAGTCACGTATGCCAATTGTGCCTGGAAAGGATCTTTTCCATTTAAATTACCTCTTCCCATAGCCATCATTTGTTGTTCAATCATAGCATCAATATTATCATCTTCTTCTGCAAAGGTAATAACATCAGCCCCATTACCAGCTTTCCATCCATTTTTGTTTTTATCTGGACCACCCCCTTGTTGATCCGTAGATTTACGTCCTGCACCTGTTAAAATAATTCGTTCAGCCTCAGCATCACTTACATTGTTTGCGAGTACAAATTCTACAAGGGGAAGATTTTCAAAATTAACAAAAGAACGAACAAATGGATGTCCACAACCTGGACAGCAATCTCCTGGATAAGTAAGTTGTGGTACAGTTTGATTACAACGATAGCAAATATCCAATAATTCTTCTCTATCTGTATATGCTTTGCTTCGAATAAGTAAACTATCAACATCCACTTGCTCTGTAATTCTAAGGGGAAGTATTACATTTTGCAGCTTTTCATATGCTATACGTGCAATACGTACCATATCTAATTGATTTGCAATGCGAGCAAGTGTATATAGTACTTCACCTCTCCCTACATTTAGAGGAACGGAACCAGAACTGATTATGGAAATCAAATAACGAGATAAATTATATAATGCCAATTCATTATAGGGAAAAGGTTGAGTAACGTGAGAATAGACAAAATGATAAGCATAGTAAATATTTGCCCTACGTGAACATTCAGCGCTAAGTTTTATACGACTAGCCCATTGTTCCTGTGTTAATTGTTGTCCATCTTCAAGTACACCATATTCTCTAGCAAGATAAATATAATAAAAAGCAGCATCACGATATTTTCGACAAATAACACTGTTAGCTGCGAGTGATTCTAGTAAGCGAACAGCTTCCTTAGGCCATTTCGCTACACTATAAGCCTCAAGCGCTTCTTCAAAATTTCCATTTTCTGCTAACCAATTAGCCCAAGGAACGTAAAGTTCACGAACATATTGTGGATATCGTTCCAATAAGGCAAAAGCTGGACGCCATTCTTCCATCTCTACATGAAGAGAAATAAGAGCTCGTATATCTCCAACTTTTTCATACGCTTCTAAAGCGTATTGCATAGCATCATGTTTTCTGAAATAATCTGCACATTCTGTAATAAGGGCAACTTCTGATTTTGGTAATGAACGGCACATTTCCATTAATTTTTCTACTTGACCTGAACATCGAGTCATTTCAATTGCTTTACCAATATCTCCAGAAGCTTTATATAAAGAAGCAGCTTCCATGTAATCTTGTGAATCTTCTGCCCATCGTGCTTGTTGTCGAATTAACTCTTTTAAATGTAATTCATTACTACAAACTTTCTTTGCTTCTGCCCACATTTTTAAATCACAAAACATTTCAATTGCTTTTTCTTCATGTCCTGATTTAACAAAATAACGAGCCGCTTCTTGATATTTACCTTGAAAAGCAAGTATAGTACCCATAAGAAGACCATCTTCTCCACTGTTATCATTATTATTTTTAGAAGCATTTTGCCTTTGTTGTAACTCAAGACGATTTAAAAGTTCTACAAATTTTACTTCACGAATATGAATAAATGCCTTTCTAGCGATATCCAATTTTAATTGAGTCATAGCATGAATACCAAGCATTTTCCAATCTCCTTCCGTTACTCCAAGACATGCAATAGCATAAGCAGACTCAAAATCTTTCTTTTCCACATAGCGATAAAGTGCATGTGAATGAGGAACATCCACAATATCAATAGCAGTAATATGAAGATTAAATACACGATTAGCTTTAAATCCAACAACAAAACCTGATATTTTTTGTTGATACGGAGATAAAGATCCTGTTTTGATATTAAGTGTATTTCCAAGTGTAGTATAGGCAATAATATCATCATATTCAGTATTCCAAGATACTGATAAAACGTCTTGAACTGTAAAAATAATTTCATTTTCTTTTTTTAAATCAAATACCTGTAAAAGTCCATTATCGTCAACAACAGCTAATTTTCTGCGAGTACAACTAATATCAACACAACGTACAGGAGCATTTACTTTCACAAGAGTAGTAGGAAAAGGATTATCTACAAAAATTCGTAAGGTTACACCATTTTTAAGACCAAGTAAAAGTCCTTCTCTTCCTTCTGCACCTCCAATAACTCTAATATAACGAACTGAACTTTCAACAGACCATTCTCGTCTTTTATTTCCTTGAAAATCATACATAGTTAATCGACGATCTTGGCATATTAATATTGCATTGAAAGTTACACAAAGAAGATTACAATCCAATTTTTTTCGAATATGTGCAATATCTTGAAATCGCATTTGTCTTTCTTCATCATAAAAAATTTCAAATACAACAAATCGATCTTGAAGTTGAACGGCAAGACGATCTCTATACATAGCTAACTTACGAACATAATCATTACAAGGAATACGTAATTTTTTATCCAAAGTTAACTGATGAACAACAATTTCAGTCATTTTATCACGATAAACATATTGATCATGATAAATACTATGTACTGCTAAAACAGATATATCAATAGTACTAATACTTCCATCATTTGTTCCACAACATATTTGCATATTCTTTGGTCGTTGTTGTGCACACCATACCCAATCATCTGCTTCAGCTACACTAATAAGCATATTTCCATCTTTTGTATAAAGTGCTACCTTGTGGTCACATCCACTAATAAGTAAAAATTCACCTCTACTATAAAATGAAATACAACAAGGATTACAAGGAAGTTCTTTTTCCTTACCCACTAGGTTTCCTTGAGTATTATAAAATGCAATTCGTTGATCCCAAGTTCCTACAACAAGAATATCCATACCATTTGATGTTGCTGGAGAAAAAGCTAATGTCCATACGGGTGCATTTCGTTGAATTACCAATCTTTCTGATAAATCTGCAGTTGATAAAACGACAGTACCATCAAATAAACCAACAGCAACTGTACGTCCATCTCGAGTCCAAGAAGCACAAAGCCCCTTAGAAGGCAAAGAACTCTTTCCCACCTTTGCTTGATCAGGTGACCAAATACCAAAATCTGAATTAGCTATAGAAGCCAAATGTCCTTTTACTGGGTTAAATGCCAAAGCCTGTACAGAATCTTTATGCTGATACTTAAGTACACCCTCACCTTTATTGCTCCAAACAATGACTGTTTTATCTGCTCCACCACTAGCAAAAGTTTTACCATCATGTGAGTAACTGACAGCATACACAGTGTCACTGTGCCCTTTGAGTGATTGAATCACGGCTCCTGTGGTGGCATCATATATTAAAACTCGAACACCACATGAGGCCACAATGGTGTCCCCTGATGGACTGTAGCAGAGGCTGTAAATAGGGGAGCGAGCATCATTTCCATCTACCGATGTTTCCGACCACTTCACAGACGTACGCATTCAGTCGTAGTAGTTGTAGTAGTAACACGATGGGGAAAAAAAATAAATAACGGAAAGTATTGTCACCGTTAGTGGTTAAAATCTAACAAATGCAAATGTACTATATATAAATAATCAAATAAATAAATATATATATATATATATATATATACACCTCTGTTATATCCTATAATAGAACTATAATTATTTTTTTAAAAAGTATGCATGGAAACCCCACAATGATACAAGGAAAATAAAATAAAGGGAAAAGGTCAAATATATCATGAGATTAAAAACAAAAAAAAAAATCAAAACTAATCATTGGAGACATCCTTCACCAACCCAAAGTCAAACCAAAGAATAATGAAAAAAAAAAAACACAACAACGTAAAGCAGTAAATAAAAGAAAAAATCAATAACGTTACCGAGAGTTACTGAGCAGCAACAGGAGCGGCGACATCACCCTCAACGGCGGCAGCGGCGTTTGCGCGGTAGTTGTCGCGTTCACCCTGGAAGCCACGTCCACGTCCACGGCCCTCACCACGTCCACGGCCACGGCCTTCGCCACGACCGCGTCCACGTCCACGGCCCTCACCGCGGCCACGTCCACGAACGCCATCGCGCTCCAGTGTCTTGAACTCCGCCTTGTGTGTGTTGGGCACGGCGTCTGGGGCGAGGAAGAGGTACTTGCGGAGGTACTCCACACCCTCGTCGTTGAGGAACCAGTAGAACTGGCGCCAGGCGAACTGCTCCTTAATGAGGCCGCGGCTCTTCATGGAGCGCATGAGCTGCATGACCTGAAGTGCGGGCACTCGGAAGGCCTTCCCGCCAAGTGTGCCGGTCCACGTCCCGAGGGGGTCCTTCTTGCAAGAGACCACTCCCTCAGTGAAGAAGAAGCGGTAGACGTCGTCGCGCACAGTCTTGGGGACGTATGTGGTCATATTTCAGTAACTTGTTAAAGTAAGAAGATAACCAATAATACCAAAATTAAACACACAAGGGTGAAGAAGAAAAAAGAAAAAAAGAGAAAAAAGAGAAAAATATTTCAGAATTATATTTTTTTTTTATAAGGAGAAAACCCTCTTTATTAAACAGAGGTTTTACCATGATTCAAGCATGGAAAACGAAAACAATAACAATAAAAATCAAATTGTATTTCAAAAATGAAAAATAAAGATTCTCACAAAACAGAACTGCCATCAAAGAACTTACATAGCAGCAACAGGAGCGGCGACATCACCCTCAACGGCGGCAGCGGCGTTTGCGCGGTAGTTGTCGCGTTCACCCTGGAAGCCACGTCCACGTCCACGGCCCTCACCACGTCCACGTCCACGGCCTTCGCCACGACCGCGTCCACGTCCACGGCCCTCACCGCGGCCACGTCCACGAACGCCATCGCGCTCCAGTGTCTTGAACTCCGCCTTGTGTGTGTTGGGCACGGCGTCTGGGGCGAGGAAGAGGTACTTGCGGAGGTACTCCACACCCTCGTCGTTGAGGAACCAGTAGAACTGGCGCCAGGCGAACTGCTCCTTAATGAGGCCGCGGCTCTTCATGGAGCGCATGAGCTGCATGACCTGAAGTGCGGGCACTCGGAAGGCCTTCCCGCCAAGTGTGCCGGTCCACGTCCCGAGGGGGTCCTTCTTGCAAGAGACCACTCCCTCAGTGAAGAAGAAGCGGTAGACGTCGTCGCGCACAGTCTTGGGGACGTATGTGGTCATCTCTCTGATGAGCTGTAAAGCAAAAACAAAAAAAAAATAAAAAGGAGGGCATAATTCATGATAGAGGGAATATCAACAGTACGTCAGAATGCATTCATACAAGAATGATTTGAAATAGCAAAAAAAAAAAGGAAAAAAATCCATAAATAATACGGAGAATGTAAGTAAATAAAAAAATAAAATAAAATAATGCAAAAAATAAGCCAATAAGTAGAAAAACTTGAGACTTTTTTCACTATTCACCGACATTTTTCTGCCTATTTCCCTCTTTTTTTTTCCCGATTATTTCTCCTCACTTGTACTACTTTTCACCCCTTGTTGCATGCTTATATGCATAGCCAAGTTAAACAGCTCATCACCTGCTTCCATGCAATCTCTGCCCGCAGAAAGAAAATAAACATCTCGATCATCAATACTAATAAATCCTCCTTGTTCTCCCTTTGGCACATCTACTACAAATCTACCAAGCTCGTAAAACATTTCTGTTAGCTCCTCCATCTTCTCCAGAGAAATTACAAAGGCTTCATCCATGTTCCAGACACGACCCCTTTGTTCTAAGAGGAGTGTTGATGTTTCTTGACCCACCTGAACTTTCAATATTTTCCTTCCATTATCCAGGTTCACTTCAAAAGAGTTGGTGAAATGAAGCCGTAATGCAGCACGATCTCGTTCTGCCTTTCGATGTGAAAGAAATTCCAAAAGACATCGCTCAGCTTCTAATTCTGTTTTGGGGTCTTTATCAGAAAGATATTCAGATAACTCAGAAAATAAACTTTGCAGGTTGTGCTTCTCTGCATACGCGGCATTAGCACGTTCTTCATCCTCTTGAATGTCGTTTACCCGAACACGCCCACGTGACGCGTTAAATGTATCGGGTGACTTGGACATTGACATTATTATACTTTTCTAACCCTTTCAATTTATTGCCTTGTCAATTAAAATAAAAAAAAAAAAGTCTAGAGAAGCAAAAGAAAGGGAGTGGAAAAAAAAACTTTAATCTTGAACTCATTCTTAGAGTGGCCCTGAGAATAAATACCTCTTAAACATAAAAAAAAAAACCAAAAAAAAACTCTCCCTTCTCCAATTTCTTTTCTTCACTATGACACATAGGTTCATATATGTTCAACACTCCTTGATATCTACAATCAAAGAAATCCATACATGAAACCTATAGAGAAATAATAAAGGTCACGCAAACAGATACAGACTCCTAAGGATGTACCCAAATATATACACGCACGCATACATACACAAAAGGAGAACAATAACAAGAACAAAAAAAAAAAAGAAATCCGTATCGAATATCATTACCATGATTTTTCTAAAAGAATTGAAATAATGAGCACACATTTATTTGCTTGGAGAAGAAAAAAAAAAAACTTATTATACAGCGAAATAGAGAAAACAAAAAAAAAAAAAAAGAGGAAAATAATCCACACATAGTGCATTTTGCGATATAGGTACCCTACCTCTAAAAAAAACATTGGAAGGTTTATTTAACCCTACTTTACCAGCTGGTAGAGCATAAACACACAATAGGACTTAAGAAGTGGTTCAGATTCTAGGCTCCCTTCCCCACTAGATCCTTCCACAAGAAAAGACTAATGGGTGTTGGTGGGCTGCGAAACGAAGGAAAAAAGCAAAAGAAAAAAAAAAAAAAAAAAACCAAAACGAAGTCCTTTCCAAAGTTTTAAGTAGGTCAAGAATTATTTGCTTCTTTTTTTTCCTTTTTCATGATCGACAGAAGAACATATAAGGAAATGGAAATAATGAAAAAAAAAAAGAAAGAAAGAAAAAAAAAAAAAAACACCAAAACAATTAATTACCGCAACCTCTGGGTCATTCGTAATAGTAGGCATTAATTACGGCAGAGGATTTATTATTGGTATCCTTTAGTCACATACCACCAGTTGCCAATGCTACCAAAATGAGGCAAATGATAAAAAAAACAAAAGAAATGTACACAGTTACTCACGAACCTACAACACGCCTCATACAAAATCAAAAAGAACCCACTTATATATATATATATTTTTTTTTCCAAATCGTAGGAATGAAAAAAAAAAAGAAAAAATCATCACCAAAGATGAAGATAGAAGAAAAACAAGAAAAAAAAAGTCTAAGGACAAAGGAGTGGAAAAAGAGAAAAAAAAAGAAGAATTCCTTTCTCTTTTGAACCATAAAAAAAGACAAAAAAAAGAAAAAAACGCCGTGAAGAAAAAAAAAAAAAAGCAAACACAGAATCTACAGAGGAGATTGCAACAAACGTAACTCAGAGTCAAAAGATCCTTCAAAAACACTTTTTTTTTTTCCTTTAACAGTGTCTATATAATGATTCACTACATGAAGCGGAGAAACCATTTGCAAAAACTGAGGGATCTCTGTAAATATAATCATATCCATTTACAAGCCCATGAAAATTTTTCTGTGTTAAACGACTTGTCCTTTGAGCTTTTTGTACAAGATCAGCATACTTTTCTTCAAAGTAATCATTTGAAAACGAGACCTTGGAGCTTGATGGGATATTAATTAGGTCTTCTAATGGTGACAAACGAACAGGATTATCCTCTTCAAACGATTCTGTGGAAGAAACATTAACCGAAATCGGTGAGTATAACAATTCCAAACTCTTTTTGGCATCTGCGGAGTCAAATGCCCCATCACCCTTTTCCATTGAAGTAGGAGTAATATCAGCAGCGCGAAGCCACTCATCTGTTGGTACATTGTACTTGTAAATACCATCCTCTGGGTTGTAGTGAGAAGCTAAATCCAATCCTTCTTCTTTGGTTAATTCCACCTCTGATATAACTGAATTTATATATTTTCGAAAATAACCACAGTGAACCGCGTTTGATTTTAGGTCTCTTAATTTTTTTTGTAGTTTACTACAACTATTAATCCATAAATGTTGTCGGCAAAATGTTTCTTCGGCGTGCAGGTCTAGCAAAGGGGCAAAATACAAATTAAGAGATTGCAGGTGTAACAGACGCATAAATTCCCCATACCAAAGTTTTCGTTTAATCCAACGAAATTTTGCTCTAAATTCCAAATTTTCTTCACTATATAAAATAGTACGTTTACTTTCTTCTGCTCTTATTAAAATGGATTCCTCTTGTTCTTCATTTTGATCCCCAAGATATTTCTTCTCAAGCTCTACACCTTTCTGTGTTTCACCCAATATACATTGTAAGGAAAGTTCTATATATTCCCTGGAATGAGGTGCTACTTCCACACTCCTTCTTAGTTGCAAACGGGAAGGTACCGATTCCAACCAACTATAAGATTCCGTTACCTCTTGTTTGGAATCCAAAGAACTTGGAGATGGCATATCAGATCTCATTGGATTACGTAGTGTATTCTCATCAGGCGGTATATGCCTTCCCGCGGAGGGTTTTAATAGTTTAAACTTTGAACAAGACACAACAACATGAATCCCTAGAATAAGTAATAAAAATGCTACTCCCAAAAAAGCCATAATAATTCCTGTGAGAAGTGTACGAGAAGAAGTTCCCGTATTACATGAAAATGTGTATCCTCCTGAGGGCAAAAGAACAAAAAGTTGTTCCATAGCTAGATTATAAGTATCACAAAATGGTCGTTGACATTTTAATGTTGAAGAAAACATATTTTGCATGATTGCGAATGCCATCATAAAGAAAACAGTTCCTATTATACCAAAAACAGTCATTATAATAATTAATATTCGCTCCATTCGTTGTCTCTCTCGAAGAACAATAGCCGTAGTAATTAATTCTCTCTCACCTCCATACAATTCAACTTCTTTTCTCGCCCAGCATGTACTTACATGTCCACCAAACTGAGCAATCGGTTTAGTTAAGATGACAAAAAAATAAGCCCCTACTGAAACAACACCTGCTAAGAAAATAATGGCAATAACTAAAGCTGCCACTACAAAATTACTTCTTCCCATTACGGAATCTGCAGAGATACCTCCACAGGTTTCCGCTGATGCAAACCCCAGCTGAAGTGCATCACTACGAACCTTCACAAAAGCATCACGAATAAGTTCTGGAAGTAATGGATCTATAGTATTGGTAGCATTCAGTAAAGGATTTAATGGAATCAAATTCCATGTCTTTCGAGAAAAGTATGATGGTCCTATAGTGAAGTAAAGCATACCAATATTTATACTATACCCAGGAATCATCAGTATTGACTTTTGTGAACCGGCTCCACCAGAAGTATCCGTATAAACTACATTTTTATGGTTCTTAATGTTTATATAGCTATCCGACATGGCAGTTATCATTCCAAGAGTAACAGCTATACTGTAAAATAAGAGAACAGCTGGCATACATATCAACAGCAGAGGCCCACAGAAAATATTACTTGGAAATACTTGAGACTTTGTAGATTGCTCTTGTTGGTTTGCTACCTCTTCATTTTCCTCCATGATGACTTAACTCTCTCCCTCCCTCCCTTTATTTTTTCCTACTTACAGTACCGTTTTTGTTTGTGAAAATAAAAAAAAAAGAAAATAAAAAAATAAAAGAAATCTAACAAATAAAATAAAAAAAAAGAGAGAAAGAAAAAGAAGAAAAAAAAAATATCCAAGATATTAATACACATTTTATAAGAAAGAAATGAACCAATAAGAAAAATGGGAATACAAAAAAAAAAAAAAAACAAATATATCACAACAACAATATTTTCTAGAGACAAGCATTTACTGTGTCTTCTCAGTCTATACATAAGGGAGAAAGAAAGAAACGAATAAATAAAATAAACGCGTCAACGGACCGCGTAGAAAGAAGAAAAAGAAAATAAAATACATCATAGCTAAACATTCCAAAGATGTTCTTGGTTTTTTTTTTTTTTTTTCCTTTCATTCTTTCCCTTTCTTTCCCTCTCTTTTTCTTCTTTTTTCCATTGAACACAACGCAATACTGTGTTCTTAAGAGTTCAGGGCACAAATAAGAGCCACACCACGTTTTATCCAATGTTTGGGGTCAACGGTAGTGGGAATTTCCACCGTGAGAACGTAGTTTGTAGAGTGTCCTGTTGTACTCAGCGTACCAGCACGACGAAGTGTTTTGTACAGTGGACACACATACACATCATTCTTTGGTTTCGCTCTGTTAATAACAGGTTTAAGCCATAACATGGGAACTTGTTCAAATAACACCTTTGGCATAGATTCTTCCAATTGTAATGTAAATCGGTCTATTCTAGCTCCTTCAATAAAGATACCATGAATATAACATCCCACTTCAGGAGGAGCCGTCACTGTACTGTGTTCTGTATTCATCCATTCAAAACCATAACTAACGGTATCAATAGAAATTTTCATTTTTCGAGCAAAATTTTGTAATATACCAGTAAGAAAAGCTTGTGGGAAGAAAAATCCAGAAATCCAATATACATTTGGGTGTCCTTGTTCATACCATGTATTAATCATTGAAAGTCGTTGAACTAAATCATCTACCCAAGCTCCAAGCGGTTTAAGACTTGGGTAGGCTCGTTCTGCCCACTTTACCGGAACTTGATTATTGTAAAGAGCGCGATAAACTTCTTCAAGTTCACGACTCATCAATACTTCACCTTTAATGGCAAGAGGAAGGGATTCAAGGGTTTCTCGTACCACTACGGTAAGACGATTAAAACGAATAGCTTCTTGTACAAGAACTGTATTCATAGAATCTTCATAAATAGTTGGATATTTTTTATTAAATTCAATAATATTAAATGGTTCACTTATTTTCTCTCGAATAAACTGAGCAAGTTCCATAACTTCTTCATCAGGAGATTTTCCCAAGGTACTCTTTGGCGCTGCCTCACCTTGTAAAGCTACTATAGCTTCTAATGTTTCAAAAGTTTCATTACGTGCACATGTAATATCAGCATTTTCATTTAATCCAAATACCTCAGGATTAGTATTAAGAGGCCAAGAATCAATATAAGCTAGGTAATCTTTTTGGGTTCCAGCAGGAATAGATTGATATTCTCCAGAAGGAGAGAAATAATATCCATCTTGCATAACATCAGGAGTAACAAAAACTTCTAATATTGTATTAAGTGTACGTCTATCCCAATCATCCGTAACTCGACCACCATAGTGAATATTACCACTTAATTCTTTAATAACTTTATATGGAACTTCTTCATATTTTTCTAAAAACATACGTATTTGAGCAATACAACAACCCAAATCTCCAGAAGTATATTCATAGGCAATATTCCATCCAAGTGGTCCAAATTTTCGACGTTCTTGAATAAGGGCATGGAAGAAAGACATGGCAAAAAATAATTTTTTAAATTCTTTTGGTTTTGCACAAGTTTCCAAATATTCCGGACGATAACTTAATACAGATCGTGTCACATTTGCTTGCATTCCTTTAGGAGGTTCATTTGTAATCTTTACACCATTTTGTAATACCGAAACAGGGAAATGTGGACTTGGCATGGAAGTAAGCCATAAACGGAATGAAGGATGAATACCACTTGTTCCCATAGATTCCACCAATCGTTCTAACACCGGCATCCAAGAAGTTGCCAAATGACAATTTTGAAGAAGTACCCACGTTCCATTTTCCATTCCTTCTTGCAGCATTCGCTCTGCACGTGGACCTTGTCCTTGACCAAGAGATATATCGGATAATTTTTTACCCATATTTTGTAATTCCGCAAATTTTTTCCAATCTTCAAAAGGATCTGCACCTTGAGAAAGAATAAAAATAAGTGGTGTTGTAGGATTAGATTCTTTAAAAGAAGTAAGAAGATCAAATGGGGGTGGACGAATAAAACGTTCCCCAAGATTTTCCGTTACAAAATCCTGTACAGCTTCCATAAGTTTATCTGGACGAAGACAACGAAGAAACATCATATGTTCCATTGGTGTAATTCGGTCTCTATAAACACCTTTTAATTTCTCTTTATGGGCCATGGAAGACATGAAAATATCTCGATAATATTCAAGATTATCTGAAAAGTGAGAGGCAAACCCTTTAAAACTTGCAAAATTGTTAGAAAGATAACAAATTTCAGCCCATGTGGAATCACTAAGCCAAGAAGATGCCGGATTGGGTTGTGTTTTCGTAGCCATAGATGGTCCTTGTAATAAGAAACGGAACTCATCATCATCTATAGCATTGCCTTGCTGAAGAATACGGACACAAAGGAAGAAGGAAAACATAATTTTATGTTTTTCAAATAATGAACGACTAATATTCTGATAAAAACTATACGTAAAATAATCCTGAAGATTCGTTAGTCGTGTTTCTAATTCATCCGAAGGTTCTGAAGATTCAATACCATTTATAAAGAGTCGTACAAACCATTGTAATGAATACTGATACATAGGATCTACATTTGAAAGTGTAGCACAGCAAAAGTATAAACATGAAGAATGACGAGAAACTGGACGATATAATTCACGACTAGCATTAATTTCTACTTCTGCTTCTTCAGCTTCTGCAACTCTTGTTTTGATCTCATCTGTAGTCGTTTTGGATTGATTAAGATATTCAATAAGACTTTCATCATCAAGAATATCACCTTTTACCTCTTCCATTTTTCGTAAAATAGTTTTTTGAATTTCTGCTACTTCAGCTCGCATAGAGGCATTCATTTTAATTAATTCACTTCGACGCATTTCAAGTTCTTTACGTTCCTGTCCAACTACCACACCGAGAAGTTGATCTTCTAAACCTTGTGGGGTAATAAAAAAGTTTAATAAGGTAACTTGTACCATAACTTCTGGAATATAATGTGGATTTGGTAATTTTGTAGTCATAAAGAATTTAAAATCAGGATTCCATGGAATAGGATGTTCAGATAAACGAATCATTTCTTGTCCACCTTGAATAAAGGTTTGTTTAGCTAAAAGAGGACTAAGACTAGCATCAATAGTTTCACCAACATTTTCCAAAAGTACAGGACGTCCTGAACGAACCGCATATTCAATACGTTTAATAACATCTTTTTGACTAGGTTTTAATATTTCCATTCCTTCTGGATACATTTGTCGAATCCATTTATTAGCTTGCGTTTGAGGATCAATCATAAGAGGCCAACGACGTGCATTTGTCATAATAATAGCATTTTCTATAGATAATACATCTGTTGGTAATCCACATACATTCCAATTTTGAGTCACGATAGGATCTTGTAAAGTATGATAAACAGAAAGTTGTTGATTATGTGTAATTTGATGTGCTTCTAATTCACTTTTCCATAATTGAAGTAAATCATTTCGGTAAGAAGCTGTAAAAGGTCCAACATATGCAATTTGTCCTGCAGCGGCAATCATATTACCTAATAAAAATTTAGAATTTTCATTAATTTCTTGTAAAGTACTTGTCCAATTTTTCTTTTCTCCTGCTAATCCATCAATCAACATAGCGGCTCTACCAAGTTTAATTTCTGTCATACGAACAACTTCTTCAAGTTCTTTCATTTCATTTTCTGCTCTTGTCTTATCATCTTGTAAACCTTTTAATTTCATCGCCACCGCCTCTAATTGTTCCTGTGCTAAACGAAGTTTTTCCTGAAAAACACGATTATCATCTTGTGCAATTGCTAATCTTTGCCGTAAGGGTTCCACTTTTTTATTTACTTCATGAAATTTCACCATCGCATGAGTCCATTGACACATCGCCGCACAGGCTTGACTCGCCCCGGCAATCTTTTTAGGTGTAAAATCCTCCGATGTGACTAATGGCATCACAGCTTGTATGAGTCGTTCAGGAATATGTTCCTTATCATAAGTCATGAGTCGCTGCATTAACATATTGGGATTATTTAATAATTGTTCCTTTGCGGTTGCCCAATAATCCGGTTTTTTCTCTTCCATTGGTCCACCAGCTTTCATAACGGGTTTAATTTGGAATAAAATGGCAATTCCCTGCATAGTCATCACTACACCAGGTGTAGGGGCTTTATAACCCGCCACTTCTGTAATTTGTGAAGATTTTAAGTTTGCCAAACTCTCTAATGCCCGATCTAATTCCGGTAAAGCTTCACTTAATTGTTCATGAGCTTCTTCTTCAATTGCCGCACATTCACGTTGTTTGGCAGCCACTGCAGATTCTTCCTTTTCAGCTTCCTTCTTGGTTTCTTCTGCAGATGCGGTTTGAACCACAATCTCTTCCATGAGTCTTTTAATAGATTCACTCTTTTGAAGAAGAATAGGTTGATTCATGGCAAGTGTTTGCTGTAATTCTGATACTGCAACTTCTGTTTCTCGTAATTTATTTAATCCATTTTGAAGACGATGTCTTCGCATATTAGCAGATTCAGTTTGAGATTCAAGTAATCGTTTAATAGTTTGAAGTAATTCCAAGAAAGAAGTTGGGGTTACATAATTATGACGTCTTGTTTCCTCAAGAAAACGAATAGAGATATCTTCCACACTTTGATGAATCATCACACATAAATCTGTACAACTATTAACTTCATTCTCTTTTAATAGTTTTAGATTACTAAAGTAATTATGTGCCACACTTCTCAAAGCTTGAGTAGGCCATGCGGTAAACCAATCAATGGTACAACAATTTACAAGTGCAGGAAACATACGTAAACGACTACGAAAGGTTTCTCCCAAAGGTGACATACAAAGAGAAACATGTAAATTAAATTTACAAAATTTTACAAATCTGGCATACATACTTACCTTATCAAGATGAATACCCTCACTAATACAAACAGGTTTCATAGCATTAAAAACTTCATCCAAGTCTGGTCCAACAAAGAGATTAGGTACTTCTCCAGAGTTTAGAAGATTATTAACATCCTCTAACATAGATTCATTCACAATTTGTGTATCGGTAAAAAGGAATAAAACTTGTTTGTTATGAAAGGCTACTCGTCTTAAGGCTGTTTTAATATCTTCACGCCATGTATTCATAGAGTAACCTTTTGATATTTCCACTTGAAAGACTTCAAACTCATTAAGGAATGCGGCTACACGAGAAAGGGATTGACGACCAGAACCACCTACACCTAATAGTAAAACATGTCCATTGGGTTTTCGAATAACTCGGGCAATTCGACAAATATGTTCAACCGCATAAGCAAACATAACAAGATTCATTTTATGAAAAGAAATATTATTATATTCTACCAATTTTGCCTCTAATGTCTTCACAAGATGATTAGGGTCTTGTACTTCTTCATAAACGAGTAAATCTGATTTTGTATTAAGGAAATCTACAAATAATAAACCATCGGTTCCTTTTTCAGGTGGGATTACTGTATCAAAAGACATTTTAAAATGTTTTTCCACCTGTTTATGCAATTGTTGATCAAACCATTCTCTATCTTCTTCACTTGTAAGACGATCTTTAAAGGTACGTAATTCCTCATGAACCCATAATCTAAGAAGTGCCACCAATGAAGTAGTTGTCTTGGGAGTCGCTTTAAGAAGTCCACTCATCACTTTAGAAAGATCACGTAAATTAAAAAGATAATGTGGACGTGATGGGGTTGGACGAAGTTCTTTGGTAACGGTATTAAATATTTCTATAGATGCTACCACAACAGATGATAACTTTGTACGAACATCTTCACCAAAAGGTTTAAAATAACTTTCTAGTATAGAAACAAAAATACGTTTCATACTATCTTCATCCACATCTGGGAAAGAAATAAGATTAAAATGACGAAGGAAACGTTGACTTACATGTGTTCTTCCTCCTCCTGGGGGTCCCATAGCGGCTGTAAAGACAACATCCACAATTTGAAAGAATTCACGTGTTTTACGATCATACCATCCTTTATAATCCATATATTGACGTAAAATCTCAATAGGTGGTTGTGCTCCATATTGTTCCTTTACTGGCATATTCATATCATCAATAAAGATAATAAACTTTTTATTTACAGGAGCTCCCCAAATTTGGGGTGAAGCTCGACGTCGGACATCAAATTTAGAAAATATCAAATCTTGTGTTTGATTCGCACTTGTACGGGCAGAAAATGTAAAGAAAATGGGTGTAAACTCTTTTGGCATCTCATTCATTAATAATTGTTGAAGTAATACCGTTTTACCAGTACCAGTAGGACCACAACAAAGAGTATGGAAAGATTTCTGTAAAAGGAGTTTATTAATATATTTATATCGAGCGACATCTGCCGTAGGTACAATAATATCCGCTACATTCTGTGCCGTTACTTGTACATTAAATGTCGCTAAACGATCAGTCCAAAGAATCCATCGTGCCTCATCTACTACAAATTCATAATCTTGAATACAACCAATAACTGGAAGTTCAATACCAACATTTAAATCATGTAATTGATCTCGTAAGAAATTATCAAATCGTTGACGACTTTGCATATCACCTGTAGCTCCAAAAGACCATACAATAGAAAAGACAAATAAATGCATATAAATTTCTTTTAATCGTTCTAATCGTTCTTGTGGTACTTCTGTGGCTCTTGTTGGGGTAAATGGTGTTAACAAAGCTTCTAAAATGTTAAAACATGAAATAACCAAATTTGGCCAAACTGATGGACTGTATTCCATTACTTCTTGTTGAACAAAATCAATCAGTATAGGAAATAAGGTGGTGGATAATTTTTCAAGTACTTCCTTATATGGATCCATTGTACTGGGAAGTCTATGTTGTAACCATGTAGAGATAAAAGCCCCTACACCAATACAACTCACAGGTTCCATATAAATCATACCTGCACGAGAAACGGTAGCGGGTGAAGCCACGGCGAGATCTTCAACTTCAAACCAACAACTCATATAAGGTGTCATGGCAATAATTTCACCTGAAATTAAACAAAGTTTCTTATTATCATCTAATACAGTATTCATAGATTCAATCCAAAGTGCATCTACCGGTCCATCAAAGTAAATCCAATGTTTCGTATCGGATGTATCACGAGCGGCAATTCGAAATAATTCACCTACAAGACCATCACGCCATTCTCCTGTGGCATCATCAAATCCACCATATAATTGAGCCATCGTAATAGATTTTGGATTTAAACAGTGTATTTGTACTTCTGCAAAACGTTCTTCATTTAATTCTACTCGTAATTTTGTCATTGCCGCTTGTAGAACTCGAGTTGCACATGTTTTTCCACCCATTGTTGGTCCCACAATCATTTGACCATGTCGTAAAATATTCATTTCATACAATTGTACACATTTCTTAAGAAACATATCTGTCGGTTCCAAATGCATTTCTATTGCCTTTTCACGTAGTACATTTAGTAAAGATCCATAATCCCGTACTGGGAGTTCCACACCAGGGAATAAATCAGAAATAATACCAGAAAATAAAATAAGATCCTGTTCTAAGAATTTAGGCATATTTGAATCCCGTAAGGCACGAAGAAGTAACACATCTTCTTCTTCGTCAGGAGATTCACGTTTCATCAGACCTGCGGCAGAAATAACCGTATTCACAGCACGCATACCAAAATCATAATGATCTTGTGAAGAAAGTTGTTCAGAACTTAATCGAAATGTTGCTACCATCTTTTGTGCTAATGCACGTGAATTGGAGTAACCAAATGAAAAGAGACGAATCTCTGCAATCATCGCATAATCTGGTACCATACAAGCCACTGGACGGAAAAGAACTTTTAAATTATCTGGTAATTCTGTACGTCCAGCATAACCTGGATTCATTGTGATAAAGACAGAATAGGATGGATCTACTATAATTTCTGTTCCTTCAAAACAAATACGATATTGTTTTGTACGTGCAGATTCTTGTAATGATGATACTTGCTGAGCTACCACAGAGAGCACCTCTACATCTATACGATTAAATTCATCAAAACAAGCCCACGCACCAGCTTGAGCTAATCCTTTAAAAAACTTTCCCATAGATGCATAGGTCATTCCTTCTTGACAATTAAATACCACACATTGTTTAGCTACCGCTTTAGCAAGATCCTTTACAGTTTCTGTTTTTCCCGTACCCGCAGGACCTGCAGGAGCTCCACCAAGAAACATATGCATAGCTCCTGTGAGAGTTAAATAAATACGATCAGTTAATGGAGTCACGACAAGACGTGTGGTATTACCAAGATATTCTCCACCATACTGAAATTGAGCTTCCACTTGACGCAAAAAACAATCATTATTTTCCCAATAAGAACGAAGTTGTGAAACCCATTCAAAAGCAAATACACTATCTACTTTTTCTTCTGCTAATTGTTCTACAATATCTCTGGCATGTACTTCAATAGTGATAAGACCACTTAAATTCATTCGTTGAAGATTTGAAAGAGGACGTCTTACAATTTCTACAAGTTCCATTAAATTTTCCTTTGCTTTTGGAACATGTGGAATTAAAGAACCATGTTCTTTAAAACTCTGTTCACAATCACGTGTCCATAAAATTTGATTTACTGCAATAGCTACTTGACCAGGAGAATTAAGAATAAGATCTTCACGACCACTTGTAGCACAAATTTTTAATCCTTTAGATAATTGAGAACGAATAGATAATCGCATCATTTGTTCAATTTCTGTTAACCAATTCTCAATATTCTTACGAGGAATAATAGATTGATCAAATGGTATATATTCTCGCATCTGTGAATACATACCATACATTTCATTATTTGGTTCTCGCATATCTATTTCCATAATATTTTCAAATAATTTACGGAAATGAGGTTGAATTTTCTGAGGATCACGAGCTTCAGAAAGTATAGTAAGTAATTCATCATCCGAAAGAAAATAAAACCTTGCAAAGGAAGATCTTTTACTTTCCAAATATTGATTCAAACCTCTTTGAATAAGCTCTAAAAGTTCATTATTTTCTTTAAATAATGTTAAAGATTCACTAAGTATACAAAAATCCAATGATAATTCTATTTCATGAGCTTTATTGGTAAGTTTACGCCAATTTTCATTTACTTTTTGAAATCTTTTCGCTTCACGAGGTAATTGTCTAATAATATCTTCTGATTGAAAGATTGGTTCTAAATATAACCATGCCTTTTGACAAATAAGCCATTCATCCATAACATTTTGAACTTGTTTAAGAGATGTTTCCCACATGGTAATATCATTTTCAAACATCTTTTTAAATGGTGAAAATCCAAGTGATTGTGTAATAAGCATTTGATCATCCAATTTTTCTTGAATTGTATCTACAGAATCCTTTGGTAGTACATAACAACCAGTAGATTTATAGGATTGTACATTTAATCCTATACTTTCCCATTCGGCTTTCATCTTTTTAAGAGATATCTCAATTTGATACTCACGGGATGCCACTTCAGATATTCGAAGAAGAATTTCTTCATATTCATTTACTTTTAGTGTTTTGAGATCATTAAGGGCAATAAGAGTTTTTCCAGGTCTCACTTCATAACCAATTTCTTTTGAAATTTGATCCCAATGTCTATCTTTTAAACCTTCTGTACGTAAATACTTTACAAAAGGTAACATGGGTTTAAATTCTTCAATTTTCTTTTTAGTTTTTTGGGCTATATTCACAAGAATTTCAGTAAGTTTAGGATCACGACTACTTTTACAAATCGTTTGATAATTCTTTATAACTCGCTGTTCCATTGCCTCAGCATCAATCTCAATAAAAGGTTTATTATTCCACTCACGAGTGGCTGAACTCCAATCATGAACTGTAAGCCAAAGTGAGGCAAAAGGTTCAAAATCAGCAGAGAGATCACGTACTACACTGTAATCTGTAGTGTCAAGTTCAAAAAGAGACTCATGTGTATTAATAGTATTGGCTGTTTCCATTAAAAGTTGAATATGTTCAAGTACGGCATTCACATCTGTTACAATATCATTGATCTTATTAACGTTTGTGCGACGATGGAAACCTTCCACAGTTTGTTGCATTTGATCAATTTTCTCTTGAAATGCTTCTTGTGATTTACGAAGACTAATAATAAGACTTCTTTTTGTTTGCTCAAGTTCATGTTGTCGTTGAATAATATCATCATCTAATCTTGCTGGCCATCCAATGGCTACCCATTTTTTATTAAAATCTTCTTCACCAAGAGGAACTTGAAAGTTATCAAGAATAGCATGAATTTCCTGAATTTCAACAATCATGGCTTGTAAATCAAAAACTTTTTCAGGAATAGTCTTTATAAACTCTTGTCTTTCTACAACTTCTTCTGGTGTTTCTGTAGACTTCATAAGAGTTTCACGAAGATCTCGAAATGCGTCACTTACTTCTGAAGCTTTTAAATTCGCCCGTTGCATCATAACATTTAAAAGCATATTGGCAATATTAGAACATTTGTTAGATAAACGTAATTTTAAATCTGTACAATCTACTTGAAATAGACCAAGATTTACAAAACGTGGAATACGTTTCTCAATCTCCAAACGTTGATCCATGTGCCGTTGAATTTCCTCCACTACACCTTTCGTAGTGGTAAACTGTGTCTTAAAATATTCTACATATTGAGTCACGTCAAGCGCGACGAGTTCTGTAAACTCTTGATACATAGATAAATACGTCTCAAGAGGTACTTCCGCACGTGAAAGGGTTTGATTTAGTTGATCTATACAAGCTTGAACATCAGCATCTTTTGTATCTATAGAAGGTACAAAGGCGGTGGCAGGATCGTATAAAAAACTAAAAAGTCGACGTTCTACAGAACGTACTCCAGTATGCAATGTTAAACACCGCTTGACAAGTTCAACAAGCATTTTGGAAAAATCTGTAGCGGAAGTAACATAATGAAGAACACGATTCTCATCATCTACAAGTATTACTTTAAAAAGTGGAGTTATTCGTACATGTTCTTTTTCAACTAAAGGTTCTACTTCCACGTCTGTCATACCTCGTACGGTAACTTTATATTTTGCAGCTTCATCAATAAAGGAAGCAAAATCAAAAAGGGATTTCCTTAATAATAATCGAAGAGAATCCTGCATTTGGATCGTTATAGTACTCATCAATCGTTGTGTCTTGGATCCTTCATATTCAGATTCACTAAGGTGAAGATTAATTTCATCATTCCCAGTAAATGGAGAAAAAACACGTTTAATGTAGTCTGAAATACCAGGAACCCAAGTTTCTCGTAAATATTGGGCACTTTCTCTAATATATCCAAGTTGTAATTCTTCAAAAGCATCCATCATAATAGGACAAACCTCATCTAGAGGTTGACCAATACGAAATACACTACGAGATTCTAATGCATCATTTCCTTCCCGTACACGTTGAAGAACACCAATAGAAAGATCATTTCGAGCAATAAGAGAATCACGATTAAAAGCATTTAAGACATCATTGAAACAATTATTCCGCAATTTGTAAATTCCACGTTCTTGTACTTTCTTAACAGGTTCTGCAGGAGGAAGTGTTGATCCACCAAGAAGTTGAAGAAGTCCTCCATGTTTCGTTACATTTTTTAATAATTCAAGGTTCATTACACGGGAATAATCCGTTCGAACTTCTTCAAGAGCTTCTGTTACATTTAAAGTAGCTTCATTCTCATAAAGAATTGGTATATTAAGAGATAATTGATGTATACGAGTCAATACAGATGGATCAATAACCTGAAATTCATCTGGTGGAATAGATTCAACATATAATTGTTCTCGAAGTACACTTTCTACTAATTTTCGCATGCGAAATGCTTCAGTAAATCGTTCAACAAAATTACGTGGATTTTCTGCTTTAAAGCATACATACACACGAGGTACAGTAATAATATCTCTCTTTTCATTTTGAAGAGGAGAAGTAGAATCATCATTTCCATCGGTTTCAAGAAGATGTGTAGTTAAGAGATTCGTTTCCTTATCCCATGATGTTACAGATCCGTTAAACCAACGCCATTTCCCTACATGACGTAATACCATACACGGAACACCACCCGATCCATCACGTTTAGCTAACCAATCTTCTGGTGAAAGTTCCTCAAAACGTTTATCATCAAAAGCATCAAGAGGGAGTAATGTGTGATAGGAACCCGGTATCTCATCAGGCATCTCTCCATCCACTATAATGTTCATTTCCTTTAACATCGTTTCTACTGAAAATTCATCATATCGTCGTCGCCAACGTCGCATGACCTCAGCTCTAGGAAGGTCACCCCTAACCGTTTCATACGGTACAAATACCTTTGGTTCCTCACTACGAGGAACTTCCTCCTCCATAGCATATCTTCCAATGACCGGTTGAGACCACGGCCGTTGACGGGGTGGACTCCTTTCATTCGTCTCATCTCTTAACCAAAAAGGTTCTTGCGATTGTTCCCGAGACTGCTGTTGCTGCTGTTGTTGTTGTTGTTGTTCAACTGTCTCAACATCATTTTCGCTGCCATCAACCTCACTCTGAGGAGAATTCTCTGTTCCACGTGTGTACCTATTTAGAGAGTCAAGCGTAACAGAGGCGGTGGTGGTTCTGTTCTCTTTCCTCTGTTGCTGTTGTTGTGCCAAGTGCACACGACGGAGTGCAATAAGTTCCTTAAAGGAAATAGACATACAAGCTATGAAGCTCCGCCCCCCAAAACAACACTTAATACATGAGATATATAGATAGATAGAGAGAGAAAAAAGAGAAAGAAAAATCAGTAAAAGATCAAATGACAACAAAAGAAGAGAATAATAGGGAGAAGTAGGTCCATCAAAACTACCACACCTCTTCCCAATACCCCCACAGAAAAAAAAGGGGAAAACAAAAAAAGAGAGAAAAAAATACCTTTCCTTACAAAGTAACCCATAAGGTCACATAAAAGAAAGAAAATGAAAACAAAAGAGTATAAACAAACAGGAAACCGGTACAACCATTTCTTGAGTCACGCTCATATGCTTACTTTGTGCGGGACACACCAACAGTCTTGCCGTGACGGCCAGACGTGCAAGTGTGCTGACCACGCACGCGGAGACCGTAGGCGTGACGCACACCACGATGCACACGGTTCTTGCGCAGACGCTCCAAATCCTCACGAAGGCGTGTGTCGACCATTGAGCTAGAGAGATGCTCAGTCTTGTTCGTCTTGGGGTCACGCTGACGATTGAGGAACCAGCTGGGGATCTTGAACTTGGCGGGGTCGGCAATGACCTCAGAGACCTTCTCGAGCTCCTCAGCGGTCAGTGTACCAGCGCGGCGCTCCACATCAATGCCGGCCTTCTTGCACACCATGTATGCAAAGCGGATGCCAATACCCTTCACCATGCGCAGTGCGAATGGCACCTTGCGCTTGCCCTCCACGTTGGTGTTGAGCAGACGCACAATGTGTTGGAAGTGGTCGGGTTGCAGCGTAAGAGACATCCTGTCCGTCTTTGTAAAAGGTAAGGGTACAATTAGTACAAACCCCAACACGAGATATATGAAAAATTAAAAGAAAGCAAAAGAAAAAAAAAAGAAGAAAAGAAAAATAACATTTTATGAAGAACATAAAAAAAAAAAAACAGGGCATCACTATTTTTTTTTTTCACATTGGAGGAACAAGAGATGTTCATCCCACCAAACACAGAAACCCCATCCAAGGGAGAAGAAGAAAAAAAAAAAAAAGAATTTGGGTTAACCAAAGATAAAAAAACACGAAAATAAAAGGAAACCTTTCATTGGCAAGCATACTACTACCAAAAGAGTAGATGTCATCTCTACTTTGTGCGGGACACACCAACAGTCTTGCCGTGACGGCCAGACGTGCAAGTGTGCTGACCACGCACGCGGAGACCGTAGGCGTGACGCACACCACGATGCACACGGTTCTTGCGCAGACGCTCCAAATCCTCACGAAGGCGTGTGTCGACCATTGAGCTAGAGAGATGCTCAGTCTTGTTCGTCTTGGGGTCACGCTGACGATTGAGGAACCAGCTGGGGATCTTGAACTTGGCGGGGTCGGCAATGACCTCAGAGACCTTCTCGAGCTCCTCAGCGGTCAGTGTACCAGCGCGGCGCTCCACATCAATGCCGGCCTTCTTGCACACCATGTATGCAAAGCGGATGCCAATACCCTTCACCATGCGCAGTGCGAATGGCACCTTGCGCTTGCCCTCCACGTTGGTGTTGAGCAGACGCACAATGTGTTGGAAGTGGTCGGGTTGCAGCGTAAGAGACATCTTCTCTGTCTGATTGCCTATAAATAGTCCAGAAAAACAATAATAAAAAAAAAGGAAAGTAAAAGTGTTCATTTATGTGTGTGAAAAAAAGGAAGAATCAAACAGAGAGGCAAATAAACATGTAATTAGGAGAGAAATTCAAAAGAATAATAAAAGTACGTTAAAACTATGTCAGTCATCAAGCTCATAATTTTTCTCCCTCACCACTACACGTTAATACAGAGCTGTTCCAGCGATATAATGAACGGAAGTAACGGTGAAAGAAAGAAAAAAAAATAAAAATAAACGCAGCAAAAGTAAACATATACCTTTTAATTAATCCAAAAAAGAGATCCTTTCCCCTCATCACAGGTCATGACTCTCTTTTGATAATTCCGTTTCTGATACCATGTCTAAAAGAGCACCAATATCAACTCCTTGACTTGAAAGTGTCTGTGATGCATCTAGTTTTTTCTGGTTTGACAGCAAAGCACAGGGACGCTTAGGTCCAAACCAAGGTGGAAGACGTCCAAGTACAGTATCTGGAGTGTCCTTATCCAACCACAAATCATCTACCAGCAGCTGCGCCTTTGATGCTCTCACATGTACACAATCTGTCGAAGTACCGCACTTTTCCTTTCGCTTTTCTTCTACATTTGTATTGGCATGTACAGGAGCAGTAACTAGGAGGAGTAAACATAATGTAAGCAGAAAAACGAATATTCTGCCTTTAAAAGGTGATGATTCATGTATCATGATTATATTACTCTTTTATATAAAACGTTAAAGCTACTTCTCTCTGCCATTTTCAAGAAGGAGAAAAAAAAGAGTGTACACTTATGTATATACATATACTTACATAGATAAACATACCCATCTCGAAGATATATATGGACACACAGAAAGACTAATAATGTAAAAAAAAAAAAAAAAAAAAAGAAAAAACTCCCTTCTCATACAGAATAGATACCTGTAAACCATCAGAACAAAATAAAACAAGATAATATGAAACGCAATAAACTCATCAATCAAATAAAAAAATTTTTTTTTCTTAACCCATAAAGTTGGGGCTAGTGCATTTTGTGCATTAAAGATGGTTCACATATCACACTTTCCAACGTCTGATTTGTAGTAACAGGTTGCATCGGAGTTTCTGTACATTTCATGTCTCTTGTTCTTAAGGTTTTCTCAGTTCTCCTCATTGGTTCGTTTTGCAGTACAGGCATTTCAATCGAGCATCTACTCATCATATCTCGTGCTAGAGTAGTAATCTTATCATTCCAGTTAACAGTTTCCAAGTAAACACCTCGCCGCGTCAGATGGTCATCTACACATTGACGCAAAGACGATATACGTACATCATGAGACCATGTTGGGTATTTCTCAGCAGCCAATTCCCCCCATGGGACACCAATACCCTGTTGTTGTTGTTGTTGATGCCCTTCCATCTTATGCTTCATTACCTCTCGTACTGGCATTCCATTACTGGGACTACTTTTTTTGTTATTAGATAATGATGATGTCATCACGACAGCACTCATTTGTAAAGACTTGTGTTGATTAGATAACGCCTGTAGTACTTCTCGATTATAAATCTTTTCGCATTGTACAACCCGCATCCGGCCTCTGTAATGTTGTACCATCACCGAAGGTCTAGAAAGAGGTTTGTCAAATAACATCAAAGGAGTTCCTTTTTTTTGTATGTGATGAGTTATTTGCAATGGAAGGGGTATATGTCTACTAAAATGTTGCTCTGATGCCCCTGTAGCTTTGGTGCCTCCTGATCCTGCTATGGTAGTAGTCAAGTATGAAAACGGGAGTAAAAGCGGCAGTAGAGCATAACGATGACGATCACATTCACTTTCCTTAATAATTATAGCGCCACTTTCACTTCTTTTAGTACTCTGCTGGTGATGTAGTTTCCGTTGCAGTTTTTCTTCTAGAAAATCTTTAGCATTCTCCAGTGTTGTTTCAATACGCCACATAATGACCATGTGAGTGAGTTCATTCATGAGATGTTCCACAAGAGCCTTAACGTAACGGTGTTCGGAATTAGGAATCGCAGGATATTGTGAAATTCCACACGCAATTTCACTAGCCCATAAAAAAGTTTGTAATTCACCAAAAAGAGATTCCACTACATCAGATTTGGTTTTATTATTAGGTAGTTTTACACCAATAATGGTATCAAGATCAATATAGTCATATATCTGTAAGAGTCCCTCATTACTATCCAGCAATTGCTGAATATATCCAAGTTTATACGTTACCCCACCTTCATTTGCTGGAAATAAACGCGTTAGTCGATCTGGAACAACAACTTTTACAATATTATCTCCAATCATCTCACTACGTTCAAATCGTTTTGTACGAACAAAAGATCCATCACCTGGAACCACAGATTTTGAAGTACTTAAACTATCACGTATTACTTCTCGATCTCTTAAAAACTCCAAGAGGAAACGTACACGCCAAAGTCTTTTTTTAGCGGTTGGTGCACTAAGTGGGGCGATACGTTTATAATCAAGAACTGCACCTTGTTCTGTTTCATTCAGTCGTTTCCACCAAGTATCTACAAGATTCTGTACTTTCTGTGCCACACTTGTTGATTTCATTGTTAGTAGAGAATTCACTGTATTTGTATTAAGGTCGGCTATTTCTTTTTGAAGTATCGATACAGCCCGTTCGAGAATTCCCACACGGGCCATGTGTCCCACGTATCCACAGTGAGCAGAGAAAGAGGCCTCAAGATATTCATTACACAACGTGCAACGTCGTTGTCCGGCATTGTAGAAACGTGTTTTCATTCGATTCATCTCAGACTTGGAGACACCAGCATCAAGTTCAGGAGATGACAATCCCCATGCAAGAAGATCTGCGTGGCTACATGTAATTTTCTTTTTATTCACTGATCCTGATGAATAGAGAGAGTTCACACAACCACTAATACTACTACTACTACTACTAGTAGTAGCAAAAGCAACTGTACCACGTGTAGTTAAACCTCTAGATATCATTTTTTTTTTTTTATATTTGTTTGTGCGTATATATATATATATATAGTACGAGTGTGTTTGTGTCTATTTCCTTCTTTATGTCTCTATGCTAGAGATCCTAGTGTGATAATCCTGTAACCTTACAAACACACAGACACAGACACACACGAACACTTACTAACCCACAAATCCAACAGAGGCATCCTATAGCGTACAGGTTTAAGAGGAAAACAAAATCAAAGAAAACCAGAAAAGAATATACACATACACTATATACTCCAGCAAGAGATGAACAATCCCACTTCAGAAATAGAGAATGGGGATATGAGAACCATTTCTTAACAGTTTGAAGGGTCACAAAAATGTTAAAAAGACATCTATCGTGCAGAGAAAACAGAGTTGGTACAAATAACAAGAAATCAAATACGTAAAAAGACGAATATCGACGAATAATAAAAAAAAAAAATAAAACAAAACAAAACAGAAGAAAACAAAAATAAATAAATAAAATATGGATTACAGACGTTTTCTTAGACTTCTCTCAATAAAGTGAGAAGCCACAGAAGTGCATACTCGTATACCTCTACACTGTGTAAGTACGCTCTTCTGACACACACACACAAAAAGACGAGTAAAGACAAAAGATGTAGTACACACATGGACAAACAAGTTAACACCTCCATAACAACATAAAAAGAAAATCAAAATACAAACAAACGTAAACAAACAAAGAGAGCAAAAAAAAAAAA